TTAAAGGTGTCTGCCTTGTGGGTCAACCACATTTCAGTGGAAGGCCAGACACCTAAGACACGTGTCAGCACAAACTGTGCTTGCTGGGTTCAGAAAAAGAGGACACAAAGTTGGGAGGGTTGAGAAGAGGGGCTGAGTCAGGGTAGGAAGGTGAATACGACCCAAATCTATTATACCAAGTTCTTGAACTAGTAAAGAGTCCAGGAGAACAAAAGGAACAATGGAAAAATGAATAAGCAGAAGAAATTTGGGGATTCTTACCAGAAAAATATCATTCGAAATGACTCTAATATTGCTTTTATAGAATGAATTAAGGGGTTTAAAGGATTACACCTTGTGTTGCAGACACCCTTTGCTCCACCGCATATCCCATCAACCTACCTTTCTATCCCAGCTGTCCTCACACTAGCCGGGTGACATTCATCTGTCGTCTGGCAACATCTGTTTAAGGAAGCCATATGTCCCTTCTGTCCTTTGGCCCCTCTGCTTCAATTGATAGAGTCCCTGGGGAAGCCACTTAGCCATTCCAGCTAAGTTCACTAACAGCTAAGCATGTTCACTTAGAGGTAGGGATGAATAAATAGCCATTGGGCAGTCTTTAGGCGATGAGGAATGAGAGCCACCCCAAGGGTCATTCTACAGTTTTTACAGATCCAGAGGAGTGAAGTCCCTGCTGCCTGTGGTAGAGAGACAGTTTGGATTGGCTTGTCTTTGCTTCCCTGTTCCCCACTCCCCTCCCTCAGGGCCACCTGCTCACCAGCCCTTGTATCAGGTGCTGGCTTGGGAACTCAGGTACTTGTAATCTCTAGTTATCATTTCCAAAGTCCACTGAGAAGCTGACATATAGCTAAAATGCAAGATTGTACTGTGGAAAAATTTTACTGCGGCTTATTTTTATCTGTTCATTTAAGACACATTTTCAGGGCAACTTCTACATGCCAAGTGCTATCCTATGAACTAGGGCTGGAGGGAGAGCATGCAAGGTTCTTCATGAGTGTGTTGTCCAGAGCAGAAGAAGCTGCCACCAAGTTACAAGGTGTCAGGGACCTGTGCTAAGTACTCTAATCATTATCTCATTTGCAACAATCCTAGGAGAAAGAAGCCACTGTTCTCATCCTGACAGACAAAAAAAAATCAAAACAAAAACTGAGGATTACAGGTTGTTAGGAACTTGTTCTAGAAAGATCTGGTCAGTACAGGGTGTATTTGAGCCAGGCCACGGTTGTATTCTTTACTCGGTAGACAGTACGTATGATCACAGCACAAAGGAGAATCAGGAATTGATCCTGGAGGTGGAAGTCCATGCATGGATGAGCTGTGAATGTAGCTTTGTGGTGGCAGTGGTGACATCTTACATTTGTGTTGTTCATGGGATGCAAAGAGCAGAAGACAAGCTGAAGTGGGAAAAGGAATGAAAAGTGTGGTTAGGCAGTAAGAACCACTCAAGCATATCTGAGGTTATTTGGTTTGAGGAAACAGGGTGTGTCCTATGATGAAAGATATATTCCTAGTGCAGGGCTTGGGCACCTTCCTAGTGATGTAGTGGAGTTTGGGGTGGTGTAGTGGGAATGATTAGAGAACAGCCCAGGCTGTGGCTCCTATGGAATGGGTGGGAAGATCCTTATCCGTGTATGCCTATGAAGAGTTGGGGGGAAAAGGATGCATTCTTCCTCCTGGTGTCTTAGAAGGATTATCAGGCCTTTCCTAAAACTAGGCATCATCTTTTTAGGTGTCATACTTTCAGCAAGAGCCTGGAGGGGCAACTATCATGTTGAGAAGGGTGTAGGTTGTTGAAAATAGAAACTCTATTCCTTTTGTCTGTGCTTACGATTCAGCTTCAGGACACTAATCACCTGCAGAAGGCCACTGGGGGCAGGGGAGTCACATCATCGCACTAGTCCATTTGTCCTGATATTGTCAGAGGCCTTTTCTATGGACCTTCATGGAGGCCTGGACACCTCTGATGGAGCCTTGGTCTGACGCACAGAAGACAGCTTTGGACAGCACACTGTGATCTGAGTCAATGTGAGCATGAGCATGCTTCATAGGCTTGGAGTGGCTGAGGCAATCAAGTTGATGGAGCTTGTGGTTGATACCCTTTTGGATCTTGGACTCGACCTCTTTGTGTTTTACGAGGTGAGGGCTTAATGTCCTTGGCACATGCACTCTTGACCTCGGCATCATTTGCCTGTATCTTGTTAAGCTCATTCTTGTGCATTTTGACAAACTGTGTGTTCCCCCAAAACTTGAGACCTTTCCCCTTAAGAGACATGTATCTTGTGACTGGCGTTTCTTGATATCATTTCTGTGTCATTTGAGGGACCAATTGTGCTTGGTGTGACTCTGAGACGTGACAATGAATCCATGGCTCCTGAAGTGCCACGGGACAAGAAGGCAAAGAGTATGAGTCATCTGCTTCCCCTACTTCCAATTGTGGATCAGAATCAAAATGCCAGAAAACTATAGGTTCTTTTTTACAATGCTGGGTGGGTTCATCCTTTCCAGATAGTCTCACTTCTCCCTGGTCAGTTGTCCTCTTGCCCCTCCTTCATTCTCTTCGTTTTTCCCTTCAGTGCTAATCTGTCCCAGGCCCCACTCAGGAAAATTAGGAGCATTAAAAAAATGGACTCATCTCACAAGCAAATAGTCAGTGTTATATTTTTAATAGACTTGAACCGAGCCAAGCACCTGAAATCTCAGCACTCAGGAGGCAGAGGCAGGAAGGTAATGAGCCTGAGGCCAGTCTGGACTAAGACGTGAGAGCCTGTCAAAGGGGGGTGGGGGGAGGATGGCAAGGAGGGAGGGAAGAGGGAGGGAAGGAGAGGAGGGGTGAGAAACACAAAAGAGATGCAAAAGAATGCTAAAATCTAGTTTTAGCATTCTAAAATCTGGAGAGGGAGGGAGGGAAGGAGGGAGAGAAGGAGAGAGGTGGAGAAAGAGAAAAAGAGACCTTTTGGTCAAAAGAACAGTTCTGTGTTCTCTGTAGGTGAAAGTGCTAATTTCATCAGTTGCACTGTTCAGACTAAACCTCTTATTCCCAGGAGCAGCCAGGGTGGACTCTGCTATGCCTCGGTAACAAGAGCTCTCACATCCCGGCGATACAGAGAAGCAAAGATTGAGTTTTAACTTAATCTCTGTGTCTACCAGGATCACCTAGTGGCTCTTCCGTTGTCATTGTCCAGGCTGATGGGGCAAGCTGCTCCCTGGAGCACTGCAGGTGTTTATATCATTCAGCTCTCATAGTTCACTGCTTGGAAGCAAGTTGTGGGCCAGATGCACTTTATTGGAGTGGGATGTTGTATTGCTCACCCAGAGAGGGAAAGGAGAAATTATGGTCCAGTAATATAAACTTCCAGTATCTCTAGGAATGACTCCCAAATCATACATGTGTCCTTAGTTGTAGTGGGTTCCCTCAGCAGCCCCACAGTTTCTGCCTCCATATTCAAGGAAAGTGTTTTTCTGAAACAACAATCAGGTGGGTTTAGAGGAGGTGCAAGGTGCTAAAATGACCCTCCCAGGCCTCCACTCCCTCTGCTAGGCCAGGAGCAACTCTGCTAATTTGACTATATCACCTGTTCTCTACTTGGAAGGGACAGCACCCAGCTGCAGTTCTCATCCTGAAGATGAGGTATTCATGGGACGTGTAGTCCATGGAGGAAAATGATGACCCCCCATGCTCACAGTGGGAAGACAGTTCAGGGACCAACTCAGTGGTTGATTACTTTTGTGTACAGCTTTTTTTTCCCTCCTTCAATTCCACAGTATCTCCTGAGCCTGTCCCTGAGCTAAGCCAGGGTAAATTCAACTGAGCAGCCTTTAAGAGTCCCAGTTTAGTGACGGTATTTGTTTATAAGGTGTGAGATATTTACTGTTTTTCTGTTTTGTTTTCCAATGAGTAACTAAGGCAGCCACTCTAAATGTCACTGGGGCTGCAGGACGGATGCCCTTGTGTTTGTACAGGGTTGTTTTTATGACTAATAAGACCACGTGTGTTGGCATGGCCTTTTGCAGAACATCAGGTCTCTTTTCAATCAGTTATCTAAATCAGACTAAGAAGCCTTTCTGGGCTTCATGGCATAGTTAGAACAAGCCTCACTTTGTGAATAAGGAAACAGATATACCAAGAAGTGGTCTGTCTGCTCGAGGTCATGGTGGTTGGGGCTGGTGCAACTTGAGATTACACTGATAAAATTTGCTGGGGATGTGGCAGGGATAGGGTGGAGTAGAGCATCTCAACCTGCATCTTCCTACCCTGCCTCCATGTTTACTACGAAGAGAACATGCTTGCTGGTCACTAGCTACTTTGCTGGTTGAGTCGGAGCAACCAGTCCCTGGGCCTTGAGGCCACTACCGCGTCTCCTTCCATTCACAAAGTCACTGTTGAGGTGTGTCACTTGCTTGTGCTGGCTGTCTGTGTCTGCTAGAGGTTGTTATCCCCCTCCCCCAAGCCTCATTGATCTTCCTTAGTAGTTTTGTTCCAGTATGGTTCTCTGGAGGTGGAAGGCTAAGAGGCCAAGCCATAGGCACAGCCATGGTCACTTCCTCCAGGTCCCTTCCTTGGGCCAGGTGGCCTCACCACTCACCATGGTTGAGGCTACCGCCCTGGTGAGTAAATCTACACTGGCCAGCAGGGGCCCTGCCTTACAGGTTGGAGAGACTAGCGTGTGGCTTGCCAGGAAGAGTTAGAGCAGAATAGCAAAACTTGTTGCATTTTGCAAAGAGACTCTGATGGTGAGGGCTGGAGGGCTGTTAAGACAGATTCAGGGGCTGGCTGAGGCCCCTGACAAAGCGCTGTCAACATCGTGGCAGTGAACTTACTCTCCCAAACATGCAGAGGCACCACCCATGCGGCTGCCTTAAATGAGAACAAAACCTTAGGTAGAAGGGCTACTCTCTGATGATTAGTGTCTGGAGAGAGGAGGTGCCACCATCACCATGGGAGAGGTCACTGCCCACTTCTGAGCCCCCTTACCCAAACAGTCACATAAAGACTCCAAATCTCAAACTGCATTTTTATTATTTTTTAATAAACTTTATTCTATATTACAAATAGTTTTTTTTGTTCTGAACTGCAAAATAGGAATGCCTTATATTTACATACACAGGTATACAATTAATTATAACAAAGGTACAGAAGCTTGCCTTTACCAAGTTACAACTGGGCTCCAATTTAAATAGCATAGGTTTTCTTTTAAAAACTTTTTTAAATCTTTTTTTTTAATCTTACTAGGATACTCTTCTTTAAAAATCAAAACCAGAAGACCCTCTTTTTTTTTTTTCCTTCAGAGACCCCATTCACCTGTCCTTGAGGCTCAGGGTAACACTGTTGTCTAAAGGTATACTTTGCTTTCTGCTCTCGAAGGGTCAGTATTCAAGGTGGTGAGGGTTTTGGAATAGAAGTGGAGCACGCTGGGAAGGGCTGTGTGGTGAGGAGAACAGAAATGATCTGCCCTGCCTCTCTCAGTGGCCTCTCGCTCCTCAGACTCCCAAGGCCTCTGCAGCTGCTTAACCCATTCATGCGTCCATTTCTATTTCTCTCCCTTCTTTGCCCTCCTAGCATTTGGGGCCTAATTCTGGGTGCTCTGACCAAGCCAGAAACCCTGCTCTCTCCCATACCTCAGTGCTTGGAGCCATTGTCTTTCGTGGTACCTGGAGTTGCTGGTTGCTATGGTAACGTCACAGGACCCTGCTGGAAGAGACAGAGGCTGTTCCCTACATGCTAAGTAGGGGGCGGGGGGAGGCAGCATCCAATCCTTCCTTCCCATTTCAGGCCTGGGGACCTGGTTCCTTTGCAGAGCAGCCAACCCAGGAAGAAGCTAAGATGCCCCAAGCACACCAGGCCCAGGCAGGGAGGGATGTGGAGGGGTGTGGGGAGGGTCATCCATTCTCAAGCCATGTCATTGGTTTCCAAATGGAAACAAGAGTCTTTGAGGTAAACTAGCTTTTATTTATGAAGAACAGAACGGAAGGTTTCATAAGCCTACAAGCTGACAAGAATGGCAGGGGAAGGTCAGGAGGATAGATGAGGACACATAGCCCATCTTTGCCTCTTGCTCGAATGGAACTGATCTCTGCACAGGAACATTCCTCAGTTCTGGTTGTGGAAGTGTTCTCTGCTTCAGAGTGTCTTTGGGGGTGCTGCTTAACTGTACCCTCTGTTTGTTTAACTGGTGCTGTTTGGAACTCTACTCTCATAAGGGAACCCTTCCAACGTGTGCTTGAGTCTTTAAAGATACAAACAAAAGAAATGGGCAGAAGAGGCAGAAACTGGCAGAACGACTGTCCACTTGCTTTTGTGTTATTGGGGAGGGGGAGCTTGGGTCGCCCCAAATTGAGCTTCAGTGTAGTTTGAAGGAAGCTGAGAAACAATATGAAGGATTCATTAATTCCAGAGACAGCCTAGAGAGCCAGGACTAGATAGGAACCCAAGGAAGAGGGAGGAGGGGGAAGAGAGGAGGGATGTGAGACTCCCCAACCAAAGACCCCACCAGTTAGAGCCTGGCCATCTTTTCCAGGAGCTAGAACACAATGTTCTCTTCACTCCTCAGGAACTGTTTGCTCTGCTCAGCTTCCTGACAGCCATCAGTCTACTCAAGGGATTCCAACGGGACACTAAGGAAGACGTCTGTCTTTCCAACCAAAAGACTCAAATACTTTTTAAAACTTGGATGCTCCCTAAATATTAATAAAAAGCAATATTATTGAAGAGCCATGATTTGTAGTAAAAAAACAAAAAAAGTCTCTCCTAATATTAAAAACATTTCCTACAGTGATTGCTTTCTAAATGGGAGGCATGGGGTGGCCTCTCAGAGCACCAGGAGAAACTTACAAGCCTCTTTCAGGAGTTGCACCTTTACTATTACCTGGAATGGTACCCCAACTATCCACTTATAATAATGAAGCTTGCATTGATTCCATGCAGAATGCCCTGGGGTGAATCCACGAGAGATGGGAGGAGTGGCCTCTGTCTGTCAAAAGGGCAGGGGAAGCATGAGGGTATTAGCAGCCATGAGGATGCTTCCCCTAGCATGTTCACAGTTCACATGGGGGAATTTCTGGACCATTTTCCTATCTAATGGAGAGGCTGTCTCACTCCTACCTTTAAGCTAGCCTCATCTGCTTAGAAGTCACTGGAAGAATTTAAGAATTCTGCTTAACTCTTCCTCTCAGTTATTTTACATCCACAGCCAGGCTCCCTTGTTACTTTCAAATTCTTAACATAAGCGACCAAAAAAATAAGGAACTACAAAACCCCAATCAAATATCCCACAGCTTTTTTCCAAAGGGAAGGGCCGTATAGTCAGGCCCCACTTGTCCTGGAAGGATGGGTGGAGGCCCTTGATGTGGATGAGGAACATGGAGGAAAGGCCAGAGAAGAGCCAGGACAGCCAGCTACCTGGACAGGGTCACCTTGGTTTACTCACAGAAATGCCCCTGAACCCCAAGCTTACTGGAACTGTCACTGGGTGCTGCCCTTGGAAGGGACATAAGCTGAGTACCTCTGAGTTTCCCACCTGCTGAGTACCTCCTCATATCAGTCATCTCCTGGCTTCTGGGGCTCTCTGTGAGAAGGAGGAAATTTATTCCTGATGACAGGAGCATTGGCCTTTCTCAAGATGAAGTATTAACTTGCTGTCTGGTGAAGCCAAAGGCAGAGAGTCCTAGGATACAAGACAGAAAGGGGCCTCTGCTGTTTGTGTCAAAATGAGAGGTGCCACGGCCAGGATGGACCACAGTAGCATCACCCAGGGTCCTAGAAAGTGGGGCAGAGCCTTGCCTCTTAGAGATCATTTGGGATGCCATTGCTTGTGACTCCTCTAACAGAGGACCCACAGGGCATTGGCTGGAGGAGAGGAGACCCTCTCACTCAGGGCAAACAGCCAAGGCTAGGATGGGACAGCACTCACTTCTAATGGACTGAAGAACTGAGTAACTCCTGTATCCAAATCAGTACTTGGCCTCAGGGAGGCTTTTTGTACAGGAGGGTCAAGGAGGAATAGGGAGAAAGCTAGCTGCCAGAGTGGGGCACAGTCAGGAGACAGACATGCACATGGGGTGGGAGTGGGGGTGTAGGGTGGTACATGAGCACCATGGACCTCTGGGATGGGATGTTAGGGTGGTGGACGTGCTGGGTATTATATCAACATTAACCCAGTGGAAGCAGGACCAGAGTCTACAAGCACAGAAAGACTTGGTCTGTTAGCAACTCCTGCTTCCTTGGAATCGTCCTGGATACTCTGCCTTGAGCTGTGGGATTCATTAAAAGTATTTCTCTTCCCAAATGTGGCTCCGCTCAGGCACCACTCTGAACTCACTCCAGGTCTGTGGACTCCCAACATGAAGGCTCCAGGGGCTGGCTCTGGTCATTCATGCTGCACAGGGTTGCAAAGTACCTTAGTCTGGGAGGGGGAGGGTTCTCTGTTTGTCCTCTGTCCCCAAGTTTAAAACTGTATTGAAAGAAGGCAAGAAAGTATTTTCCTGAGGAAGTAACTGACACAAACGCTAACGACTTCATGGCACTAAGAAACATTACTGTGTCTCCTTACAGGGAAGGATGAAGACATGACCAGACCACGCCCACACCTAGAGAGACAAACATGCCACAGAGCGGTAACCAGCCTGCAGATACCTTCCTAGGTTCCTTCTACCCAGTCTTTTACTTTCAGGACCCCATCAAACTCCCTGCTCCCTGCTGGCCTTCTCCTTTCAAGATTCAAATCCTCACTTGGTGAGTCATTTGGGATGTGTGATCAGCAGTACCATTTTGACCAGTGGTATCAGGAGCAGGAGGATGCAGAGGTGAGGTGAAGGGGGGAGGTGAGAGAGGATACCCCTCCCCCCTCAGAACAAACTCCAAGAGATAAATAAAGGTTCTACCGTCCGCAGATCCGCAACAGCCCACAAGTGAACTCTGGACGGGGGCGAGGCACCGCTGTATCTTATGTCCTAGTTTCTCTGACTTCGTTCTCTGAGAGCTCACAGACCATCAGGGTCTCTCTGATTGCTAAGAGGAGCTAGAGAATCTCAAGGGGGAGTTGTGAAGGAATATCTGGGAGGAAGTGACAGATTTCAAACAACGTTGCCTAACCTTGCTTTTAAATGTATCACACTTGCAAAAACAAACAAACAAAAAAAATCAGATGGGAAATAAAAACAAACAAGCAAATAAACAGCAAAAGGAAAGTTGATTTTTTTTCCCCCCACAGGCAAGGTGGGCCTTGATTTCTGAGTCCTCAAGCAGGCCACAAGGACTGCCTATGAAGTACCAGAAAAAACCCACATCATCAATTAAAGTGAAAGAATCTGCCCAAAGCCCCCTCAAGAGAAACAGGAGACCCAGGAAACCCAGTCAAGACTGTCCCCGCCTCTTTCTTCCTGATATGTGTATTTCTCCGAGGTGTTTGAAGTTTTGCTTGTTAACAAAAGCAAGGAAAAAAAATTCTGTACCGACAAAATAATAATAACAACAGTAAAATCATACGGCGGGTGGGGTGGGGGGGCGAACATGTCAGCAAAGCCATGGTAACAGTCTCTTGTTGCTGCTGTTCATTTTTTCTCTAACTGTGCAAAACTTAAAAATCAAAGCACACTCACCTATGCACCACACACACACACACACACACACACACACACACACACACACACACACACACACACCTTCCATCCTGCAAATCTGTGTTAAATATGTTCATGGCTCTCTCCTCCCCAACCCTTCATATGTGCAAAAATACCTTCTCAGCTGAGGTGCTCCCTCAGCCGGACCTCCACATGCACCCTGAAGCCTGCCAGGTCCCATGGCTTCATGGAAGAAAAACAATAGTCACTGACAGAAATTCCATATGTCTCCACCTGGCACTTGCTTTGCCAAAACCTCTGGTGGTTTTTTTGGTTTGTTTTTGTTTTTTTTCATTACCCTCCCCACTTCCAATGCCTCTTTCCCCAGACTTTTCATCCTTTTTCCTACATTGGTATGTCTTTGCCATTTTGTCCACAGCAATGCCACAGGGTGCTGCTCTGGGCTGCCAGAGTTCAGCATTCGCAGGTGACATCCTGATTTCCTATGGACAGAAGAATGCTCTCACCATACACACGATGAACACTCAGTGAAGTATACTGACCCTGAAGGATGGACAGATGAGCCAGGGGACAGAGAAGGAGACCATCTCAATATCCTCCTACATAGGATAAGAAATCTTTCCATGCTTTCTACAGATTCCTAGGTGCCTTCCTCAACCCTGCTCTCTCATATGGGTCTCGATGTCCTGGAAGGTGCAGGATGACACATGGACTTGGCTTGAAATGGTACAGCTCCTTCTCCATGTGAGGCTCATTCTGAGTGATGGGAAGAAATGACATGTAATGCATGGAGAATGAAGGAAGGTAAGGATGTGGAATGCTATCGACACCGCCTTCTCTAACGCCTCTCTTGTCTGCATGAGTGGTGGACAACAAACCTCAGCTGTCTAAAGAGATTCTTGCTTATGGTAGAGACTGGACCATTCACTATCTAAGATCCCTTCAAGACTGTAGGTTCCCAAGACCCACTAGTAAACACCTCTTGTCATAACCACATGTTACATTTCTGAGCACACATTTGCCTGATTTGGCTAACAAAATGGCATATCAATAGATGGGAAAACACAATGCAAAGATCAATGCCAAGGCCATGGTTAGTGGTATGCACTTTTCTCTGTATCCAACCAGGTCCCTCACTTGGCTCTCCAGTCCCTTCCAGGCACAAGAGCTGGTGGCTGAGGCTGGCTGGCATCTTGTTTTGTCCTGGTGAGGCTGTGCTTAAGTATGTTTCCTCTGATGATGACTTCAGAAGGGATGAGGAAGAAGATCCACTGAAGAGACAGCTGATATGTTGATGAAACAATTCCCACAGAGCTCTGGACAGTCCAGTGACAAAGTCATCTGCATAGCAATGGCACCAGATTCTGCAGGAGGGACAGGGGTTGGGCTGTCTGCCCTGGCCTTCTAGGGTATTCTCAAAGACAGTGGAGATGGAGCCTTGGAGACGGCTGGAGGTAGAATCTCCTAGATGCACTCTGCATTTCACTGTGAGTTTTGATGATGGTGATAAAGGAGCATGGAGATGCCTTCTCCAGACAATACATGAGGCTCTGGCAATGGACCTTTGACTACAATCAGGATGCATTTGAACTTGGGGGTGAACAGAGAACAATCAATGTTGCTTCTGGCATAGATGATACTCTTTCCTTCTCTCTCTCTCTCTTTCCATGCTACATTTCTTTTTTCAGGAACCAGATTAGATGATGTAGGAACATCTCCATGGTGGAATGTAACTGTTAGTTCTTCCCCTGTCTGACTTTTTACAGGAAGGGGAGAAAGGTCTGAATGGATGCTTGGAAGGCCTCCAAGGATATTGGGAGGGGACAGAAGGCTGCTGGACATCAAACAGGTAGGCAGCGGCCCCTGAGAGAGCATCTTTAAACTTCCACTGGTCCCTACTCCAACATCTGTAGGAGGCAAAGCTTTTCTCTCACAGTCACAAAGCACCCAGGTCACTGCCTGGCCCCTTGTTGTTGAGTGTGTGGAAAGGGAGATCCGAGTGATGTCTCCTACTTCAGATAATACTGAACTCACAGTTGCTTCCCGAAGCCAGGTTTTGGACCACAGTGGGGATTCTCAACGCAGAAGGTAAAGTAGCAGCATAGGAATGTTCTCCATCCTCAGCTCCTCCTTTTTATTTGAGCCCTGCTGCTGATGCATGGGGCCAGAAGCAGCTGGGAGGGAGAGCCTCACTCTGACATCTTCTGGTCAGGTCTCTCACCATGGGGCCTGGCCATCCCTGGACTGACTGAGGGTCAGTGACCTGGTCCAACCACACTGGTGGAGCAACTGAAAGAGATGGAACTCTGGAAAGAGGGAGAGACAGAAGAGGGAGAGAAATAAAAGGAGAGACGGCGCTGCTCGGGGGTTGCTGCTGATGCCTGTCGGAACTTGCACTTGGTAAAGATGATAATCTAGACTGAGGCACGGCTTGGTGTGTCCCTCCCTCCAGGATGGCCCTGGAAGGACAGTTCTCAGCTGTCTAAGCTCATGAGGGTTATGACTTGTTCTAGTTTGTAAGCCAGTTTCTGCTTTCCACACTGGTCATCGTGGTCCAGGGGTCCAAGGATCTGTGAACGAATACAGAATGGAGGATTACTAGTCTGGGTATGGGTACCTGGGTTTTTAGGGTATACAAAGACAGCATGGCTATTGTCGGGACATTAGTGTACCTGCGGCCACTGGCACTGCTGTGAAAACAAGCAGCCTGAGTGACATGGGTAAGGAGAGGTGGGAGGCATATGGGTGCACAGGACACCAACAAATACACTGTCACACATCTGGAAAATGTGTGCATTCCATTGTCTGTGAGAGACAACTGGTAGGAGCAGAGGCTTTGCTGAAGATGCCTATCCAGAGAAGTCACTGTCATCTACAATCTCAATGGCATCTGGGGAGCTCCATAGCGAGTACAAAAGTGGGGTGCTGGGGGGGGCAGAATGTGCTTTTCTGATATTAACAAGTCCTACCTTTCCCTCCAATATAAGGAAGGGCTTCCCCAGCAGCTTCTTGGGGGCTCAAATATCCACATTTAGAAAGTCAGTTAACTTGTTTGTTAAAAGCCAGATATCCCTAAAGGAATAATGTTGTAGGCTGACTATGCTTTCCATCCCTATTCTATAATTGGCCCGTAGTGGCTAAGGTCTCCAAAACCCATTTCTAAGGCCAGGCGATTGACAGAGGACAATGATGGGTGATTGGGATGTTTTCCACAAAGAGACTCAAGACATGCCAGATTGAGTCATGGCTCTGCCAGTTGCCAGGCTGGTGATCTGGGGTGAAATATGATCTTTTTGAAGGATCATGCTTCTTTCTCTGGAATCTACCTCTGCTTTGCTTGGGTCTAGTGGATAAGGCCAGGTCACACACATGAGCACCCTATGTACCAGACTATCAGTGTGGGATGTTCTCTGGTCTGAAGGGATGAGGGTTGGAGAGCAAAGAAAGGTGGCTGAGCTTAGAGAGACCTAGAGGCTCCTTGGGTTTCAGATTTTATGACTAATTAACACATACTTAATTGGCGACATCATGCTACTGAGCTGGTCAGGAACTGTCCTTTACTGCTGTGATACTAAAACTAGACAAGTGTTCTAGTAGGCGAAGGGATGGTCCTTTCCAAAACGAAGCCAGAGACTTACAGCGCTGTATCAGAGAACATCCTTATTATCGTCACCACCACAAACAGGAACACTTTTCCCTGGACCATAACTGGTCTGCAAACTGATGGTAGCAGTCCCTCCCCTAAGGGACTCGCCACCGCTTTCTGTTAACATGAGGGTGATATAATATGTTGTTCATGGCCTGCAGAACACTGGGCTCTGGACCTGCTGGAGTCCTTTAACAGGGTTCTTGAACTTCTCTGGGTGATAAGGCACTGCCTTCTGCTCCAAGAAGTCTGCTATGCTGTGCTTGGATGCAGGGACTCTGGATCCCAAACCACTTAAGTCTGTGTCTGCATAGCCAAGCAACTCTCATAGCACCTTTATGTTAACCAGAATGAAGGCAGAATCTACAGTGGCAGTTACCAAGGTGGTGCTTTACAACAGAGAACACAACAGTGAAAACTATGCTCTCTGTCCCTATTCTATTCTGTTCCCTCCCCTTCTAGTCCATCCCTTTCTGTTCTGTCGATCTATTCCACTCTCTTCCATTTGACACTGTCCTATTCCATTCTGTTTCTATTCTGCTCTGTTCTACTCCACAGGATGCCACAATCCACTGTGTCATCCATAAGAGCGAGGAAGTTCATGCTCAAAGAGAATTGGATCAGAGAGGAAAATGAAAAGAATTTAAAGGCAATAATGGAGAAAGAATAAGCTAGGTCTAGTGGGGCACTCTGTTTTCCTAGAAAGGAAGGCTAAGGCAGGAGGCAAGTTCAAGGCCAGGCTGGGGTCTGGGGGTACAAAGTGAACTCAAGATTGGTCTGACCAATTTATGGAGACTATCTCAAAATAAAAAGTGGTGGAACTCTCGCCTAGCATGTGGGAGGCCTTGGATTCGGTCCCAGGGCAAGGGGTAGAGAGGAATAAAAGAAACAAATTTCTATATCTGAGAAGAATAAGAGTTGATGCAGTTATAAGGATTGGATCATCGTCAGTGCCCATTTCAGTCCCACAGTGCTGTCCTAGGTCTGGCTGGTAGAATTTCCCTAACAGAGGCATGGGGGAGGCATCCGTGGGGCTATTTCTGTACACGATGCATTCAGACATGTCCCCCACCTCTGCCTCTACAGGCCCTGGCAGGGCAGGGCAAAGCTTACCTCCTCACTGTATTTGCCGACGTAGGAGAAGATCTCTGAGAGTGCGCTCATCGTGTTGAACTCATTCATGTGCATCCGCGACTGCTCGGCCAGGTACGCGTTCATGTCCTGGTCACTGATCGCTGGCATCTTCCCAATGTCTGAGTAATATCTGTGAGGGGTGGGAGACAGAGAGGAGCTGGAATCTATACAGAGAGTATACAGGAGACATGCAAGCACCAAGCAGTGAGAGCCTATGCTGTGACCACCTGGGGATCATAGTAGTGTCCCATCTGGGCTTCCGTGCCACAGCCGGGGAGAGCTCTCTGCAGCTCTGCCATAGGAGGCCCAGAGGGAAGGATATGGGAGGGGGGAGAGAGAAGAACCAAGAGTCAGAAGGCTTCTGCCCAGAGCATCTACTTTGTTCCCAGCTCCTGGCATAGGTCTCCGGCTTGCCTTGAGCCTCTCCAGCAGGGCTGGAGGGTTCCTCTTGAACAGTTGCTCTTCCCTGATGGCTCTCGCGCTCTCTGGAGGTTAGGGGAGAGAGGGGCAGAGGCTGCTGGGGGAGAGAGGCTGGCAGAAGGCAATCAGTCACTGTCACTTGCAGCTGTGCACTGCTGTCAACTGGTTAATTAGATGCCAGCATTTACATTTTTAATTTCTGCAATTTGACATTTTATGCACCAGACCTCCAAGTGCCCCGCCAGAGGAGAGCTGCACAGTTTCCTAATGAGGGAAGTGAGAGGTCTCTGTGCTCCTAACACGGCCACGTTTTTACCCTCTACAATGTGCTTTGGGGTTGTAGGTAGCAGGAAGAGAAAAGAGGCAACTGGAAAGACGGGGAGTCCCTGGCAAGTCAAGAGGCATTGTGGGTGCTGCCCCATGCTGCACCAAACCCCTGGGCTGCAGGGCTGAAGCCAGCAGCATGAGGAGTGGGGGAGGGGAGGAGAGATTCCAGGCAAGGGACAAGGTAAGGCAGGTGAGGTGTCAGCTGGGTATTTAAGGAGGGACAGTCCTTCAAGGTTTTGTGAGTTCTGGTGACAGGGGAGCACCCTTAGAGTTCCAAGGACCCAGGCTTCCTTCACAGGGTGACCCCCATGCTGTCTTACTGGCCCTGCTCTGTGTCTTGCTCAGCTCATATCCCTTCCTGTTCTGACAGGGTGCTCCTGCCCCATCCCCACGCCATTTCCCCGACTCCTGCCTGTCCCCAGCAGTGCCCAGTACTTGGGTGACAGGCTGTCAGAAATGGTTCTTGCCTCCTCCAGCCATCAGCCCCAGGTCTACATTGAATGACAGCTCAATTTGTGACCAGCATCTTCCCAGGCAGGCAAGGGCTGAGATGGCTGTTGGCCTTGGGGCCACAGTCTGCCGGGATTGCCACTGTGTCTTCAGGGAAGAAGAGGTAAGGAGAAGACATTTGGTCCCTGCCTAGGGAAGGGGATGGTCAGAAGGAAAAGCCCGTGGCCTCAGAAACCCATTCCCTGAAGCAGGCCCAGTGCCCACTGCCTGTGAGTGGATCCTGCTGTGGCTGGCAGGGAGCTGTTGGTCCTTGGCCTGCTGCCTGGCAAGAATAAGACCAAGGTTGACCGATGAGGCCTTTCAGGACCGATGAGGCTCGAGGACATTTGGAAGATGTGCTGCCCTGAGTTCACCTGGACTCCTTCCTGCCCTTCACAGCGCTCTCTCCCATCCCCTTTGGTCCTCAGAAGTCCACAGTACTCGTATCCTTGACCTGCTTCATTTGGTTCCTTTACCCCAGAAGACCACCATCTTCTTTACTGGTCGGTCCCCACCCTAAACTCCTGTCTCAGTGCTCCAAAACACAGGGTTCGGGTGAGTTAGTGACATTCCAGGCAGTAAAGGTTCAGGAGGTGTCTCCATTCATGGCCGTGAATAAACTATATCTGAATCTAATAAATGCCAACATTCCATTTTACAGCAGAAGAACAGAGGTTTCACTGATGGGTCCCGACCTTGTCATTGCCAAGGAGATTTGTACCACTGTGCCTTCATGAATCCTGAAACTACCAAGCCAGAAAGGTTATCTTTGCAGTCCTATTCCTGAGAAGCACGGGCAGTATTTTCTCTCAATTTCAGGACTATGGCCAGCAGCTCACAGAACATGGCTGCGTCCAATGCTTTTGTCCAGATAGTTCTACTCTGTCATCCGTAGATAACCAGAGCCTCTGAGCGGGATGGAAAATTCAGGTTCCCACAGTGAAGACACAACTGTCAGCAGAAGTGAAGGCCCCTGCTGCTCCTGTTCCCCTGGTGTGAAACTGTCACGCTTCTTACAAACAGTCCAGGCTCTGACTGCTGCCTTCACGGTCCCTGACTGCATAGTAGCCTAGGCTAGAGATCATTGTCTACACAGTGAAAGGACCTTTTGCATGCCAGAAACAGAAGATGCTCAACATCTGTCCTTGCAATAGTTTTCCTCCTGAGGGGTGCGTGAGTCATACACTTCTCCAAAGAGAATATTTAGGAAGATTTCATATGCGTGTGTGGCAGGAGAAGAGATGAGAGAGGAAAGGTTGGGGAGGGTTGGAAAAAATAAGAGTGGAGAGGGCAAAAGGCAGGGACTGGAACCTTCTCATCGGAAGGTAGTGGGTGACATGCTGGCTAGGATGTGCCATCAACCCCACCCCCATGCCCTGAGACACACACACACACACACACACACACACACACACACACACACCTCATGTGGCCTCATCTCTCACACTCTTTTCTTGAGGAGCATGGACTGGACCAGGGCATGTCTGTGATCCTCTGCTAGCCCCCAGGGTGGACCAACCACACGGCCTTATCTTTGGAAAGTTCTGGATGGGTGGAGGCAAGGCGAGTGGCTACAGGCTACTCAGTCACTGGCCATCTACCTTGTTCTCAGCCCCAGGCTGCCTGCTGTTAAGTGGTCCCACCCTCTCTGCAGGGCTTAGCTAATACTTCCACCTGCTCCCCGGCTCTGCCCAGCCCACAGCTAGCCAGTCCGCCCTGCCCCCAGCCTGACCATGACCCCGCATTGAGTTTTCTCGGCCATGTATACAATTGCTTCCTTCCCACTCCTGCCAAGCTGGCCTTCATGCTGGGACCTCAGCCGAGATGCCTCATCGATTGTTAAGAATGCAATAAAGCCCTGACAATGAACTTCAAACAAGTGTTCTCATCAGCTGACTGCACAGGGGGAACAGAAAGGTCAGCCTTGACCCCCTTCTTGAACTTACAGGATTTTCTGCCTACAATGAGCCGCCTCTTCAGAGAGGCTCTGAACATCCCCTCAGCCCCCTCTCCCATACCAGTGCTGGCTAGCCCTGGCAACCTGGAAGGCTGGCTGCCATTTGCTCTGACAAGGCAGGGCTGGTTCCCATCCCTGGCCTCAGTTCACTCTCCTTGCTGGGCTTTGCCCAACTTAGGTGGGATGCCAATCCCTGGGGGCCCCACATCACAGCTCAGGGAGCTGCTGTTCAGGGAAAGGTTCCAGAAAGCTGGATTCTTTCATGTTCCTGAATCTCAGTGGGATGGGTTGAAAGAAACTAGAAGGAGGAGGCTTCAGCTGAGAGTTATGGTCAGATGGTGGGAATGAAGACATGAAAGCAAGCCATCTTGAGCCTCTGGCTGTGAGGCCCCCAAAGGTGGCTTTTCAGAGGCCGTTGTGAATGGATGACTGATGTCTCCAGACCTAGCAGAATGAAGGCCTCACTCCTTGACTTCCTCAACCCCGGCTTTGTGGATCCTGTTAGACACTCAGATGTGGAAGCTGCAAGGGGGAGTGGTCAGGTCCAATGTGTCCCATGTGCACAACACACATGTAGAGGCAGAAGTGGGCTGGAGGGCTAGAGAAATGATGGGAAGATGTGTGCTATGAATGCACATATATGTACTATGTGTATGGTATACATGTAAATGGACGTGAATGGCATGAAGATATGTGTATGTATACACTTTTGGTTTCATGTATATATAGTATATACTTGTATTCATGGTACCTGTGCATTCATACAATATTGTGAATGCATGTGTATATGGTCTATGCATATGCAGGGTAAATATGCTAAGTGTGTGTGTGTGTGTGTGTGTGTGTGTGTGTGTGTGTGTGTGTGTGTGTGTGTTGGGGGGAGAAGATCATGGATCACATCTTCATCTGGGCCAAAAAGACACTGCAGTCACTAAGATCCATGCTGTTCCATATAGAGTCACCTAGTAAGCTCTGCCATGGTTCCCAGTGCTTGCTTCAATGTGGAGGCCATGAGTTGTGGGTGTTTCAATTGCAGGATCAGCTGTGACAGTGACTAGTCTAAAAGCTTTGTCCTGCTTGCAGGGGAGGACCCTCTGGTCCAGGGTTGTGACCTGCTCCAGCCAGGTACCCTCAGATTTCCATGGGCCATACTCACCTCTCTACCCAGTTTTTGTAGCTGGGAATATCCTTGGCATAGAGCAGTTTGTTGGAGGGGGAGTCCTTGCCCAGCCGGTGCTCCGATGTGGAGCAGGAGTCCATGAAGGTCTGGGCCACCACTGAGAGGCAGGCATCCGTGATGCTGTTCTTATGGATGTCAAACACAAACTGAGGGTTCTTGATCATGTTCACCCAAAACCGCAGGGGCAGGCTGTGTGGAGGGAAGCAGCAGCTGGTCAGGGGTGATGGAGTAGTGGGGTGTAGCCTGGTGGAAAGTTCTGAGAAGGAGCAATGGCTAGATTTCATGGAGCTTAGGAACCATCTGTGGCTGCCATGGAAGGTAAAAGGGACGAAAAGGGACGTGGGTCTATTCAGCATACAGGAAATCAGCAAGGTTGGGGTCTCATATAAAGATGTACCACTGGAGGAAATTAAGAGGAAGTGATATTGTGACCTGGGATTCTGCATCTTCCTTTTGACAGAGGCGTCATCCATGTGTGTGCTTCAAAGCAGAATTTGGGTCTTTATTCCTATCTAGCTAATGCTGGGACCATCCCTTTGGTGAACTTTAAGGAATCTAGGTTTTTGCATCTGACTGCTTACTGGATGACTTGGCAGAAGTCACACCTTTGCTTCCTGTCTACTGTCATAGGCTACTTCCTGCCTAGTAATAGAACTGGCGCTAAGGGTGGATGTGACCAAATGATCTTTTTCTACCAGGCTGCCACATAGCACCAGCCCCTTATCTAACCCATAGTGTCCCATCCCATCCTTCGCCTCCTGTCTTCCAGTCAGTACCTAGTGCCTTGGTCTCCTTAGTGCTAACTTATAAGTGCACCTCCATAACCACCACCTTCTATGGGTGCTAGGGACTGAACTCACTTCACCAACCAAACCATCTCCCCAGGTCCCCATCTCCCCCTTTTTTTGAGACAGGATCTCACGTAACCCAGGCTGTCCTTAAATTTACTATGTAGCCAAGGAACCTTCTGCCTCTACCTCCCAAGTCCAGAGGTTACACGTGGTGTGCACCACAACACACAGTTTTATGTGGTGTCAGGGAACAAACCTAGGGCTCAAACATCCCCGGGCCCATGCTTGATTTATTTTAAAACCATGCATAGGTGTATTTCTTGGATGGGTTGCAGGTAGGGAATCCACATACAGAGACAAAGAGAGAACATTATGTAGTGTGGCCTGGTTCTGTAGTCACTGCGTTTGCTAGACAGAAGGCTTGCAGGAGGAGGAGCTTCCCAAAGCCTCTTTGGCTGTGCTCTCCCTGCCCATTCCAGCCCTGCAGCTCCCACCAGCCAGCTGAGCTGCCGGTAAGAAGGGAGACAGTGCAGGCATGGCTTTCTTCTTTCTCTCTGCTCCCACCGCTTTACCTCCCGCCTCTTCCCCTGATGTTTTATTGTTGTTTTGGTGGCTGTGCTCACGGCTGGTGATAGTTACAATGCCCGCGTGTGTTTGGCTTGCCTCTTAGAACTTAACATCTTTGAATTACATTATTTCAAGGCACTGGATACAATATTTTTGCTCTTGTTCTATCTGCCAGCAGCCAGTCTGTATAATGCAAACAACAAACACTGTAAAGATAGGAAGACCTGACATTCACAGATGCCAATCAATCAACAAGCATTTACTAAGTCTACAATGAGTGCCACATAGGGCTGGGGCAGGCACACTGAGGTTTGGTGTCTGTCATTTGCTTCATCACTGGAAATCCAGGGTAGAAAGAAAGTCAATGGAATGATAGCACATGAGACTCACAGAAGCTTCTCAACCTCCCTAAAAGGTGGTTATGATCTCGGGGCTTGAAACTTTGAATAAGAGACTCAGTTTCTCTCCCAGTCAATTCTCCTGTTCCAATCTCGCTGGGCTTCCCTAAGTCCCACTCAGATCATAGGGGCTGGGAACCCACATGGCTGCAGTACCTGTTTTTCCCTGTCCCTCAAGCCAGTAGGGAGGCAGGTGTACTACACAGGAAGCAGAGGCACCACTGAGGCTCCTGCCTAATGAAATATTAGCATATTATTAGCATCATCTCTGGCTGATTGCAGCCACTCTGGCTAAATGAGAAGGAGTGTTATTTAACAGAGAACCTGTAGGGAACTGGGGAAGAAGGGGTGGGGAGGCAGGCAAGTCACACCTTGAGTCAGGAATAAAGAGACAATGCCCTCAGCAGGGACAATGAACTCTAGCCCACAGGCAGCGCTGATCATTCCTAACTGCATCTTGTCCAAGGTACCAGGGCATCAGACCAGGGGCAGGAGATGCCCTTCTAAGGGAGAACTTGAAGCTGGTGTAGTTCTTTCTACAGTAAGTGGAGTATGCTTCAATTCCTAAGCTTTCCATTGCCCTGTCCATGTATCTCTGCAGCACCTGAGACCTTGGGATGCCTCAGAAAGGAGGCTGGCACCTAGAGGCGGCTGGCAAAATCACATCTCTCTGGCCATCAACAATGGGCTTGGTGGAGCCCCTGCTCCATGTGGAAGGGGCCTGCGCTAGGTAAAGATTCGTTGTCAGATGTAGGTACTGCCTCTCAGATGCCCCTCAAGAGACACACTGACAGGACTTGAGAGATGGAAGCCACCTCACCAGAGTGGCTGCACAGAATGGAACCCAGATTCTCGGGGCCCTGCTTTAGAAGGATGGTAAGGACTCTGCGGCATGGCCCGAGCCTCTTTGGGGGCTGGTATTCCTCTGGAAGAGGGCAAGGCCACAGCATGCTCAGGAGACTAGCACAGATACCCCAGGCTGACTTCTGGCTCCTCAGTTTTCAGGTCTGGACCCCCCTGATGGGCATCAGGGTGCCTGCTTTGTGCCAATCCTAGCAGTTATAGCACTTGGTACCACACCTATGTTGCTTTAAGAAGAAAAAGCTGGGGAAGAATGGCCTGGGAAGGAGACCATCTAAAGGTGACAGGAATCCAGTTCTAGAGGATGAGACTAAACATCCGCTAGCTCTGCCACAGGTAAAATTCTCAAGCAGGCCATGACTGCCCACATCTCATCAATATTTACCAAGCCCCATTTCCTCAAGGTTCTGCATCCTGTCTTGAATACTGATGCTTGGCCTTATGACTCCAACCTCAAGTGAAACACTCCCTATATACAGATGGTGGGGAGGATACTGTGCATTCAAAGGAGAAGGGGGACCGCAGTGGAGAGGCCTGCAGTATTATCAGTAGTTAGAAAATCCTGTGGCCTCCAGGGAACACAAAATGATCCTTAGCGGCTTTTGGGAAGGAGTTTGGGGAAGGAAAAAAAAAGCTTATGGGATGGAATTGGAATCCAGGCGCCATCTGCGCATGCATCAAAACCCTACTGACAAGACTTTATGAAAGGCTGTTACTCAGCGGCCCTGTCCAATAATTAATGCATTTTCTATGCTAGTGTTTGTCCACGTATATAGACAATTGTCTCTCTTATTCCATATCTGCATCTGCACCTTACCGAGGACAGGGACCCTGTCTGACTGCTCTAAGATCCCCAGTGTTGGACATATTGTCCCACACCCAGAAAGCAGCAAGATGTGACAGTGGTCTGGCTGTGATAGAATAGATTATCTTTTACCCATTAGATTAGTATAGTTTGTTGACTGAAAAATCTGGCTGGAAAGAAGGCACGAAGACAGACTAGAGGAGGGGGAAGTGAGAAGATGGGGAAGAACAGAGACTGACTAGGGTTGAGCGGAGACCCTGCTAGGAGGTGGACAGTGGCCAGGTCTCCCTGGCGCAGGCCTGGGTGGGCAGGTCACTGGCCTCTCCAGATGTGCCAGATGTGCCCTTCCACCCTTTACTCACCAGTTGCTTTTCCAGGTATGGCGGACATGCGGGTCATGGATGCCATGCTTATCAGCCTGCTCATCAAGGAAGTCAAACATGTACTTGATGGCTAAGGGCAGGGCAGAGCCACGGTGGGCTGTGCTGAAGATGGTCTCAAAGAGGTCATCCACGAACTTCTGCAGTGTGCCCTGGGGAAGGGGACAGACACATTTAGATCGAGCCCAGCCGAGGCTGCTCCGAGGAGGCGTTTGAACAGCTACCTTGGGGACTGGGCAAAGTCAATGCTCTGCTTCCCTGCTAAACAGGACCCTGGGGACACCGTGCACCAGACCTTCTCCCCCTTTACAGGTCCCTGGCAGTTGTACCTTTCCTCTGTGCACAGAACACAGAAGACAGATGATGGAGAAAAACCACCTTCCTCTGCCAGCTACAGGGTTTGGCTACACACCTCTGCAGTACCATTGTATCACTTTTGAAAATACTAATGAGCATGCTTGGTCAGAGCTGACAAGTACAATCTGCCGGTTCTGTTTGGCCACTACCCACCCTGGCTGATGACCATCCGGGTCCACAGAGAGACCAGAGAATCCAGACTCTGAAGACAAAGGCTAGGACCGTAGGCATGGAATAATCCCCAACATCAGGATTAGAAATGGTATCAGCAAAGCTAGGGACTCAGCCCCGGTTTCTAGCCTTATCGATGGTGAGAGAATGGGAATACATGTAGCATGTAGAATGGGAATACATGTAGTAAGTGTCTGAAGCTGAGAAAAGGTGCTTAAGGAGGGTGGGAATAACGCTTCAGATTGTGTGCTCATGTCTTCTTAGATCTGCCTCAAGTGACAGGTTGAGTAGAATCCTGCAGCTCAATCCTAAGGCATCCCAGGCTCATGACAGTCCCTGATGCCAGAGGACAACAAAATGGGCTGGCGCACACTTAGCCACAGTGCTAGCAATTATGTGTATGTGTGGTGTGTGGGCATGCGTGTGTAGAGGTGTATGTGCACATGTGTGTACATATATGCAAGCCAGAGGGCAACCTCAAAGTGTCTTCCTTGATTCCCTCTCCACAGTTTTCGAGGATTTTTGCTGAATCTGGAGCTTGTGATTTGGCTAAATGGAGTGGCCAGCAAACCCCAGGCAGTCTCCTTCCTCAGCTTCCCCAGCACGGGCAAGGCACAGTGCACAGCTTTTCTTTCTTTTCTTTTTGTTTTAAATGAGGACTTGAGGCTATCAAACTTGGGTTCTCATGCTTGTCTAACGAGCTCTTTACCAACGGAGGCCCCCCTCAGCCCTCAGCCCCCAGTTCTTTCATGGCAGATGAAGGCCCTTCCTGTGACCGACCACACACTCCCGGCCCACTGCTCTCATGTCCCATACCTTTGTGGCCAATAATCGTGTCAGGTAGATTTCAGACACCATCTTGCTCCCCCTATCACCCTCCTTCTGGTCTCCATGCTCATGGTTCTTCACCAGGTGCCACAGCTTGACTCCACTTTCCAGGTCAGGGGTGATCATGGGTGTTCGGGAACGGAGGCTGTCAGGGCTGCCTGTGTACCGGATCATGTTTTCTGCCAGTACAAAGAACACAGCCCAGCACATGTGTGTCTGTATCATCCTGTACTCAGCAACTCACAGCATGCTTCTCTCCCCAGCCACGGCCACTACTGTCTGATCCCTCCTGGCACTGGCTGGCGCTGTTACCTTCCCTCCGTGTGGCACATTCCCTGAAATGCTTACGTCTTTCCTGCCACCTCCAGGAATTATCTGTAGTGAATTCCACCCACTTAGGCTGCCCTCCCCCTGTACTTGGCATTGAGTCAACCCTTAATTATTCAATTTGTAGAAATAAAAGCTTGTACTTCTCTTACACTTTTCCTTGTGTATGCTTTCAAGTCCTCTAGCATGTGTGGCCAATTAAAGGCACATGTAAGAGCAGGTAGCTTGTCTCCCTTAACGAATCTTGGTCAGGTGAGGGCTCACCAGAGCATCTGTTTGCCGTTGTTTCCCTCTGGCCCGGGCTACTTCTTCTAACTTACTTGTTGAACCTCCTTCCTATATTTTGAGTTGTGGTTAATGGTAAACTATTTGGTAAAATGGGAACTAGCCAGGTAGAGGATGGTGTCCCACTATGCCCATGTGTAGCCTACATGTTCACCTCTTTATCATTCTCAATACCCTGTGATGCTTGTCTTCTTTTGTTCTAATCCCTGCTTTACAACAAGAATGTCACTGCTCAGGGTGGTCAGGTGTCCCCCAGCACACAAGTGACAGAGCAGGTCATCTATGGAACGTCTTCCTTATATTCAGAGTCCTTTCCTCTCCTTCCCTTTCATGCCTCTGCATAATAATGGTGTGACCTTTACCATTTATCATTTAACCTCTGTGCTGCTGAGTTATAACTTACCAATGTAAATAATAGCGGGAAATAATAATTATTTAATTCACTAGATTGTTGTGAACTTGATGTGAGATGATGGGAGAAGGTAAGACTTATAGACTGTACAACCTCATGAAGGTTAGGTTCTCTCTCTCCATCTGTGTGTGTATGTATGCATGTATGTGTATGTGTATCTATGGTGAGCATGCATGCATGTATACACATATATGGAGGTCAGAGGTCAACCTTGGGTGTTATTTCATAGGTGCCATCTCTCTTGATTTTTGAGATGGATAATCTCGCTGGCTGGGAGCTCACCGTTAGGCTAAGCTGGCTAGCCAGTAAGCTCCAGGTCCCCTATCTCCACTTCCCCAGGGCTGAGATTACAAGCACACACCACCATGCCTGGCATTTTTACATGGGTTTTGGGGATCATCTGAGAGCCCCAGGCTTACATGACAAACCCTTTACCAATTCAGTCCTAAGTTTCTTTTTGTCTGCAGACAGAGTACATGTTTATGTCTCAGAGCTAGTGATTGGAACCAGTTACCTCTGTCCCACCCTGGCTTTCCTCTCCACTGGTCAGCTGACCAGATCCTCTACCCAAGCCAATGAGGTCTGTTGATAACACCTGCTCACCTACCTCCCACCCCTCACACCTGGTGAGATCTTACCATATTTACTTGCTGAAGTCCTGGAGACTGTGGAGTTGTTCACTGCATTATAGGCTGTCACTTGCTTGGACACTAAAGCCACCACAGAACCATCCGGCACCTACAGGGTAAAGGCTTCTAAGGGCCTGGGCATGGAAATGCTTCCCACCCATTCCAGGAAATAAGGACAAATTAGGATTATTTGGGGAAATGGGGGACAATTAGCACCTTGCTGGGAACTTGGGTTTTGGAGACTACTCTTTTTTCTTTTGATAAGACAAGACTAAGACCTTCGTACCAGCTGCTCTATGGCTTCTGTATGCAGCAAGTTCTGGTAAGAGCCCCTCGATCACTTTTTCCTCCCTAACTTTCTGGAGATCATCCAGCACTAAATGCTCAGGGTCCTTGGAGAATTTGCCCACACCCTCCAAGAAGCATGCATGTCACCATCCTATCTCCAGAGAGGTGACATCAGCTTCCCTTGGGTCATCAAGGATTGCTGGTGGAGAATGCACTGGGGACTTGGCATCCAACCTTGAGTGGCTGTAATTTGCCACCTACTTGGCCAGCTCCTGACTTTGGCGGTCAGCTCACCTGGTAGTGGGCTATTGTGTTGAGTCTCTTCCAGTCATTCTCAATCTTGGTGGTGAGATCTTCATCCTGTAGGATCATCCTTGCCCCGCTTCCTTGTCTCCACTCTGCAGGGAGAGCAGTGGCAATTTAGAAAGGCCCTCTGGTCCTTCCGGGGAGCATCCTGTGTGCTCCATAGAAGTATCACATACTTCCATATCTCCAGAACACATTCAAACAGACTAGTGCTGAATTTAAATGTTCTCAAGGCAGAGAGGGCCTGAGCACTAGTTCAGGTCCTAATTTAATGAATTAAGTCAAAAGAAAGGGGGCGGGGCTCACAGCAGCGCCCGTCCTCCCCTGCACCTGTTTGCTGTGAGCGTTCACAACATCAGGACACGCTATGCAGTGTCCATGGGATGAATGGACTAGGAACGCAACAGAACACAAAGTGCTCAGCAAAGCGTCGGCAAATGCACGTGGCACCATCACGGCAGCTCCACTCGCTGGCTGTGCTGGAAAGTCCCTGCGCTGATGAAATCCGTGTTGCAAGTGGCCACTCACTATAGCCCTTCACCTTTTCCCAGTGGTTTCCCTTATGAGAAAAGGTGGGGCACCCTTGGAAGAAGACTGGGTAAAAAAAAAATGTGTGGACCATGCTTATAACCCCCAAACTCCAATCTCCACAAAACTGATGTGGATAATATCCATCTTGGAATCTAGACAGCACTTAATTATTTTAACATACATACATACTAAATCCTTACCTCCCTGTCCCCCATTCCAGTATCTACACCCCAGGGCCTTGCTGATGGATCACACAAAGGGAAGGAGCTAAGATCTTGCTTCTCATCAGCTGAAAAACCTCTGTCCTATTTAGCACAGATCACACATGGGAGGAGGAGGACACAGTATGATCTTGAAAAACACGTAGTCGTATATGTGCATGGCAGCTGTCCTACATGTGCTCACACATGTGTGTGCACATCACACACCCAAAAGGAATTACAGTCTCTTAAAGTCAAGCAGAACATGTGTCCCAGCCAAGAAGCTGCTGGTCTGGCTTCCAGGCAGCCCAGACAGTGCTTCCTGACTCACAGCTGCTGGCGCTCCCGAGCCGTGCGGAGCACACTGGGCTTGCTCAGAGTGCATGTAGATAGATGCAGGCATCCCTTGCATGACACTGCCTGCCTGGCCTGCCTGAGCTTTTTCCTATGGGCCCCAGAGACTCATGTGTTTCCCTCCTGCCAAGGTCAGGCTGTGCCTCCCCTTCTGGCCCCATTTGAGGCACAGAAAGTTCTATTTCTTCCTACATTGTGCGTGCTGTGGTTAGAACTGTTGACTCCATCAAGCATGGAATCCAGGCCCAGAAGGGAAGCATCTTGCCCTAGGGGAGGAGCAGAGGGCTCCTGATATGAGCCCGGCCTTACTTTACCAGGGCATCCCTCATGTCCAGCTTAGCACCATGCTAAGACTCAAAGGGATGGTTCAAGTACAGCCTGCTTGCTCACTGGCATGGAGAAGTTGCTAGAGATGCCTGCCTCTGAAGCCTGTAGATGACCTTGATGAAATCGCTCTTGGTGATTAGGACCTGGGGCTGGAAGGTGCACGTGCAGGAGGGAAGTGCTCTTTGAAACACTTGATGGCCCATGTTTCCATCTGTCATGGGGCTGCCCTGTTTCTTTCTGCTTTGCTTTTTAATTTCCCCATGTTTCTTCATGCTCTCGTGCCAGAGGAAGAGGAATCTCTAGTCTGGTCAAGCTGCTGATTCTCAGTGCAGTGAACCCCAGTAAAGACCAGCTGGGCTGAGGAACGTGGCTGTGAGTGTCTTCTGCTTGCATGGCGAATGATGCCTGGTGGAGTCAGACGCTGTATGAATGGCTTGAGGACACACAAGGGAAGCTTCAAGGGACACTGCAGAGGGTGGTCAGCATTCTGCACTTTGGCCTATCTGCTGGGCCAGAGAAGGTGCTCCCTAAAGTCCAGCTCCCAGCTTTCAAGCACACTGGGACCCTTTCCAGTAGAGCTACAGCAATCTCAGTGGCATCTGAGCAATGACCACAAGCTACCGATTCTGGACCCCCATGCAGGATTTCCATTGCAAAACTCCCTCTGAAGTTGTGCAATGCACAGCCTCTCCAGACTTACTTAGCAGCCATGGTTGTGAGTCTTGTCCAGTAATTATGTAAGCAAATGGGAGTCAGTCTGTTTCCATGCCCCCATTCAAAAAAGTAGGTCAGAAAAAGGCCGTGTCTCCCCAGGGGCATAGACTGTCCTTGGAGTAAGAAATTGATGAGGCTAGATGCCTACCAGCAGGGCTCTCATGGTGCACAGGACACACTTGACAAATATTCATTCAATGAATGAATAAGGGAAGAAATGAGCACACGAAGAAAGGGCACTTGTGACTTGGTAATGGTTGCCTGTTCTACAACCAGGAAAGAGAGGACCTCACATTTGTATGTGTCCATCCATAGCAGATGGACAGTGAGCGACAGTTGGAGATGAGCCGTGAACTGCTACTAGCAACCTGGGAGAAAGGATTATGGGAACTGAGAAATGTGACCTGGTCTTTGATTTTATTGTCCTACATTCCACCAATATTATAACTAGGAAAATGAAAAACAGGTCAGTTCAGGAAGCCAGACACAGAGGCCGTCACATGCCTGGCCACTTTTCAGTGTACTGGCTAGCTGAGTTCACACCCAGGGGTCTTTCCAGACTACCCCTTTGGGGGTCACTCAGTGAGTGTCCACAAAAGGAGTCCCTGTGCTCTGGGCATTCTCAGTGTGGAGGATGGGTGTGGACACAACTCAGGTACTGCCACCTCAGGCCAGCCATGTGTTAGGAGGAGGGAGGGGAAGAAAGGGGTGGGCTTGTAGATTATTGAATCTACTTTTAAACTAAAAAGCAACTACTTGTCTGTAGTTGTTGGTTGTTTTTTTTTTTTTTAACTCTTTTGGGCCTGCCACCCAGCTCCCAAATAAATACAGAGTCCTGTTCTTACTTATGAATGCCCAGCCCTAGTTTGCCTTATTTCTAGCCAATTTTTCTTAAATTACCCCATCTACCTTTTGCCTCTGGACTTTTACCTTCCTCTATTTTATATTCTGTTCTTTCCTTCTTACTCCATGGCTGGTTGTGTGACTGGGTGGCTGGCCTCTGGTGTCCTCCTCTTCTCCTTTTCTCACTCCTGCCTCTTCTTTCTTCTCCTATTTATTCTCTCTGCCTGCCAGCCCCACCTATCCTTTCTCCTCTACCTAGCTATTGGCCATTCAGCTCTTTATTAGACCAATCAGGTGTGTTAGACAGGCAAAATAACACAGTTTTACAGAATTAAAAGAATGCAACACATCTTTGCATCATTAAACAGATATTTTATAGCATAAACAAATGTAACACACTTGAAAATATTCCACTACACTAGTCTTAAATATTTTACACTGGTATGGATTTTTGTATGTTCATACAAATTTAAGGTTATTTTTGTTATGCTGTATATGTTTCTACTCTTGTTTAAAGTACTATACCTATGCAGCTCACTTAACAATGTAATGTAAATTTCTAGTCCTTGAAAGTTATTATTACAAACTGCCAAGGGCTGTGGGAGTATACAGCAGGTGACAACTAGTGTTTGACAAGTTGAACCACCAGATGTATAACTCCCTGATGGGGAGTCCCACCTGGCAAAACCGTGGGGTCACTGGCTGTGGAAACTGATTGTTTTCTGTCTGTAACTTTCTCAGGTGCCACTGTAATGCCTCCCTAATAAAAGCAGCTGTGGGGTTCTTTCCACAGTCCATTGGTAGTGTGTTTTCCATCTTTGGGAACACTTATAGTTGTGGATGATCAGGTTATCATTTATGTTTAAGCTGTATAATTCTGATGAACAGAAATATTACCAGAATATTCTTCTTTACTGACACAAAAAATAACAGTATTCTCAGTCTCAAAGACAGCCTTTCACACATTTTGCAAAGACCTTAGAGCTAGTCCAAAACAGACCAAGCTGCCCCTACAGAATATACACAAAGACTAATTCCCAGGTGTTGTTTATTGCTAAATTAAGGCCAGGCTGTTTACATCAAGACACAGTCCTTGCAATAGCTCTCTTTCTGCACGTACCCTGACTGCTTAAGTTTCAGCTAATTGTTTAATGTCTGGGACCACTCACTAACTTAGAGCTACGTGCATGGGTCAATGTGACATTACTAGCCTAAGAAAAACTACTTATCTTGTGTTTTAGAGAATGGGTAGGGCCCTGAAAATGTAACTTACAGTTTTCCAGAGTTTGGCTGAGGGTGGAGCAGCAGTGGTGGTGTGGAGAGAGATGGCTGTGTAGAGCTATGTGAGAGCTGCAGAGTGTGTGTGTGTGTGTGTGTGTGTGTGTGTGTGTGTGTGTGTGTGTGCGCGCGCGTGCTGGGTGAGAGATGAAGAAGAAGATTGAGAGAATTGGGAGAGGGAGTGGGTAAAAAGAATGAGTGAGTAAAGAGTGAGTGAATAATGTAGAAGTGTGTGTATGAGGAGAGCTGTGCCTACGAACTGTGTAAAGTGCTGTATGGTGAGAGAACTATGTAATGAGATGTTTAGGGTAACTGTGGAGATTTGTAACTGTGTGGGGACAAGGAAGATGAAGCTGTATAGAAAAGAGATGTAGAAGAGAAATGTATGTAAAAGAAAGATGTGTAGCTATGTGAAAAGATGTATGTATCTAAAGATCTGTATAGAATGTAGCAATGTGGAGATATGTAGCTGTGTGGAGACAGAGTCAGAGACCATTCTTAAAATGAAGTGCTGTGGATATTGCTCTGTATAAATAAACACTGATTGGCCAATAGTCGGACAGGAAGTATAGGTGGGACTAACAGAGGAGAATTGAGGAAACAGGAAGGAAAGGGAGAGATTGCCTGGAGCTGCCGCCAGGACAAGGAAGATGTAATGTACCAATAAGCCATGAGCCACGTGGCAAAGTATAGATTAATAGAAATGGGCTAAATATAAGAGTAAGAGCTAGACAATGATAGGCCTGAGCTAATGGCCAAGCAGTTTAAATAATGTAAGAGTCTGTGTGTTTATTTTATAAGTGGGCTCCGGGACTGGCGAGACTTGGTGGGAGCTGGAGAGAACTTCTCCAGCTACAGTGAAGTGAAAGAGAAAGTTAATATCAGAAAGCATGTGTATTTTCTTATTTTACCAGTCAGATAGATAGCAACTTATTTCTAAATACCCTCAGATAGAAAAAGTCTAGCCTTCACCACCTTCATGGATTTTCTTGCATTACCCTGGAGGTGGCTTTGGAGCAGTCTCTCCACAAGGCCCCTGATAACAAACTATTTAGGATAATTAAGAAATACAGGTTAGTAGTTAGTCATCTAACAATCAAATTTATGGCCATGTTAGGTATGTTTCCAAGGTTAAATAGATATATTTTAGATAGACAGATGGTCTTCAAACACTTCAGATACATACAGAATATGGCATTTAAGGTGTTTTAATAACATAAGGCTTTTCATGACAGTGAGACATGTCTGTTCCTGGCAGCACCAATCTACATCAAAAAGGATGGTGGACATCAAAGAACCTCCATATGGAGCTTGCTTTCATTGTGGCAAAGTTAGCCACTGGGGAAGAAACTGCCTTTGCCTCAACAGCTGACAGTATGCTGTCCAAATTGGACAAGCAGGACACAAAAGGAAGTGACTGCTGAACTTTTCCAAGACAAGGTAGACCAGTCCTTCAAAATTCTTGCTTCACAGAAATATCTGTCAGATATTCTAGGCCTGTAGGCCAAAGATGGATGCCCCAATGTTGCAGAGGAACCTTGGGTGACTTGTCCAGGCAGCCAGCTGTTTCTGCATTTCTATAGTTTTAGAATTTATTTGCTCTGTACTTCCTGATTAGTCAAGTAATATTTTATCTTTCTTGGGCCTCTCATGGAGATTAAAGACTAGATAGTTATACAGTATTCCTTGTTATGAAATTCAGGAAAAAAAGATGTAAAGTTTATAAGGTTGATAAACATAAAAGCTTAAGTTGTTTATCTTAGAAGATGTTTTAAGGTCTAAAAAAGATATTTTTAGGATGGTAATACAAGTTATGATAGAAAATGGTTTAGGTATAAAACTTTGGACTCACTAAGATAGGGTAGATAATATAATACTTTCTCTGAAGTTGCCAAATACAAATGGACTGGATATTGGAAACACAATTTTACCTGATAATTATTCTTTTTTTTTTTTTTGGTTTTTTCGAGACAGGGTTTCTCTGTGTAGCTTTGCGCCTTTCCTGGAGCTCACTTGGTAGCCCAGGCTGGCCTCGAACTCACAGAGATCCGCCTGGCTCTGCCTCCCGAGTGCTGGGATTAAAGGCGTGCGCCACCACGCCCGGCTGATAATTATTCTTATTGCATATAGTTTTACTATGTTAGTGCTAAAACCTTTCCTTTTTATTAACAAAAAGGGGGAAATGTGGGATATTTGTATACTGTGTGAAGATATATTGCTGTGGTTGGTGCAATAACAAGCTGAATGGCCAATAGGTAGGCAGGAGGTGTAGGTGAAACTTCTGGACAGAGAGAGAACTCTGAGAAGAAGAAAGGCAGAGTTGCCAGCCAGACATAGATGAAGCAGGATGGGCAGTATAAAGATAAGGTAACCTGCTTCGTGGAAGAACATAGATTAAAAAATATGGGTTAAGTTATCAGAACTAGTTAGAAACAAGCCTAATCTAAAGCTGAGCTTTCATAATTAATAAGAAGCCTCCATGTTATCATTTGTGGACTGCCAGTCCCAACAAGACAATCTGACTACATATGGTATCCAACATGGAGGCTAGAATAATTCCATCAGGAATCTTCACAGATCTCTCCTTTGGGGGTCACTCAATGTCCACAAAAGGAGCCCCTGTGCTCTGGGCATTCTCAGTGCAGAGGATGGGTGTGGACACAACTCAGGTACTGCCACCTCAGGCCAGCCATGTGCTGGGAGGAGGGAGGGAAAGGAAGGGATGAGCTTGTACCCTCATCTGTGGCCAGGCTGATGCTGGCATGTGGCTGTCTTGACTAAACCTCCCACTTGGAGCTTTGGGGATCTGACAGGTCACTGGCTGTTTTCCTTGGGCGTGGAGCTTCCTTTTCCACAATGTCCTGCCATACTGATGGGATGGCCACATGTTTTCCCCACAGCCAAGACACTGGCAAGGATGCTGGGAAGTAGGCAGGCAAGACACACACTTACCACTGATGCCAATGCTTGGCCACAGGGTCTACGGCTACAGGAAGAGCCTCTGGGCTGCCCAGTCTTACAGTCCCCAACCCAGCCCCACACTTAGGCAGGTGTATCTGTGTGTACCTGGGAGGTGACTAGTATTGTCTTTTGTCTCAAACAGTTAGGGATGTCTCCTTAAATACCAACATAAGGACTGTAAGATGGAATTAGGGGCACTTAGCCTTGCTTTCAGAGCCCTTAAGCCTGTTATTTTTGTTACTTCTTACACAGAAAAATTGCTATGTGCTTTTTACCTAAACAATCAGAAAGATTTTTTTTTTTTTAAAAAAAGAATGAAGTTCTGTGCCATCCCAATCTACTGTTGATAAAAGAAAACCTGGGGGCTGGATAGCTTCTATTGGAAATTCCATTCCTGGGGCCTGTGACAAGGAAGCAATGGCCACCAACTGGCCACAGAGCTGACCTCTGGGTGGAGAGGAGTGTGGGAATACATCTGGAAGGCGACCTTGAATTCCCAGGCAGACTTGGCCAGGGTCTCCACATTGACCCACTGGAGAGCTCCATTTCCATCACGTGTCTACACTGACCAACCTTCCATGCTGTCCTAGAACCTCCCAGAGGCTGGCTCTGGCTTCTGGCTTCCCACCCATATACTGTTCCATATGCCCTATGCCCACCATATTGAAAACCCAGATTCTGAAGACCCAGAGCTCCACTGTCAGTCATTCATCTGGACTCTCACTGCCCCCATCATTCATTCATTTAGTCACCTCTTCACCAAATAAATACTGAAGATTTCCTGTGCATTTGGTATGCCTCAGGAAAATCTAACTGTGGACTTGGCCTCAGCCTTCTGGATGTTCTTGTCCTACTTCATGAGCTTGCTCTGATAGTGTGAGCCATTGAGCTCTAGAGAGTAAGGCAGGCACCAAGGAGAGGCCAAAACAAGCCGAAGTCAGTTGCTCTCTTGGTCCTAGGAGCAGCCAGCGCTCCTGATCTGCAACCTGGGTTCAGAAACCCTTACCCCATCCAGGAGTCACAAACCTAAGATGAACTTGGGAGGTAGAGTAGACCTTCCATCATGCTGCATGCACCACCGTCTGTATCAGCTCAGAAGGCCCCTGGGAGGGGCCACCCCTTATTTTGTGCTCTATATTATGGCATGTTCAACATTAGGTGTTTAAAACTGCAGAGAAGGAAAAGAGCTCAGGTCTTTACATCCTTAGCTCTATGCTCTTTGCACCAGATGAGTGTTTATTATAACTTATGATAACTAGTCTTAAAAATACTCTTGGACTGGTGAGATGGCTCAGCAGGTAAGGTGCTGGCTGCCAAGCCTAAAAACCCGAGTTCAATCCCCAGGACACACACTATGGAAGGAGAGAAGTGAGTCCTTTGAGTTTAAGTCTGCTAACATCCATATGTGTGATGTAGAACCCATGTGCTTCCCAACCCTACCACATGTACACAAAATAAATGTCATAAAAATTAAAAAAATAAAAACCTTCTCTGTGTGTCCTTGTTTTGCTCTGTATGAGGTGACGATGTCAGAATAGCCAAGGGACAGTGTGACAGGTCAGCCCATGGCAGTGTTCTGGGTGGATGCTAAGACAGATAGGGCTGCCCTAAAAGCCATTAAGGGTAGGGAACTCTGCCAGGCACTGAATGAGGTGCCAAGCTCAGTGAATGACATGAACTCCTGACAATACTTCTGCAGATGAGGACACAGAGCATACCATCTGGAAGAGGTGTCTGATGTGACTACCATGTTGAAATGGCAAATGTGGGAAGTCTCAGTCACCATACTACGTCTGTTGTTGGTATGGGGGTCTGGGCAGTGTAGTGCAGGACGGATAACAGAAGTGAACAAGACTCTTGTCTTTACTGAGCTCCCCAAGGGGGCTGGATGGAGAAAGGAAGGAGCAGAGTGTGAGCAGAGCCAGGTAAAAAGGGCTGCCCCAGCTAGACTGTGAAGGATAGTATGCCTCTGCCTAGCTAACAAGGGCTGGATATTCTGGTCCAATGTGGCCCTTGTGTGACCCTCACAAATCCGTAAGTATGAACGAGTGGGTTAGAGTAAAAGGTTCAAGGGACTTTGGCTATCAGAAGATGCCCACAAGATCCAGCAGGCCAGGCCGTGGTGTGTGAGGTTGAGCTGAAGGTTGTGGGTTGGAGAAAAGGTAAGGGCTGAGGCCAGTCTTGGAGCAATTCGAGCAGAGAGACCTCCCCCCAAAAGGCTACTTTTCTTCAAGACAGAAACATGAGGGGTGGGCAAAGACAGAAAAGGGACAGGGCACAGGTCACGGGAGTGTTTAGGCATGGGCCAGAAGCACTTGGAGCTTGTTGATGGAAGATGGGAATGGTGTGTACACACATCTGTAAGGTGTGTGGTTACTAGTGGAGATTCAGGCTCAGAGTGGAGAAGGCATCACCTGACCTGGAAAGGGACACTGCCTCCCAGAGAACGCCTAGTCAGATGCTATGCTGAGGGGTAAACAGCGCCCACAGTACCTCAGCAGTTCCAGCCCTGGCTCTTGCAGCATAGTCTACAGGTAGGCTCACACATGCATGGATGTGTACACACCACACACACACACACACACACACACACACACACACACACACACACGGCGGGAGGGGGAGAGTTGGAGAGATAGACAGACAGAGATAGAGGCAGAGAGGCAGAGAGAAAGGGTGGGGAGCCATAGCAGTATAGCTCATTTATTCTAGGCAAGGGATGCTTCATACTTTGTGACAGCCCAGAGCCCAGCTCTCCTGTCTGTGGTCACTCTCGGACGGTCTTGTCCCAGGAGGCTTCCAAAGGGCTGATGCTGACAGGCAAAGTGAGAAGGAGGTTGCATCAGGAGAGCCAGAGGCTAGAGGCCCCACTTTCCAACAGGTACCTCTTCTTCCACCCCCTCGGGCCCTGTGGCAGGCTCTCCCCAGAAGTCCACTCTGTCCCATCACATAGAACCCATGGGAGACTGGAAGAGGAACAAGATTCTCTTGTGCACACCTGTGAGCAGATGAGGCCCTGACTCTCTCCATACTCACTACCCTGAAGGATCTTGGACAGAGACCACAAGCAACTGGAAAAGCTGTGACAGGGTAGTAGTAGGTATGGAGTGGGTGCTTAAGAAGTTAGAAATTTGGTACTTGGTACTCTAGGACTGTAATCCTAGCTACGCGTGTGGTCGAGGCAGGAGAATTAGAAGTTCAAAACTGCCTGGGTCAGCCTGGGCAACTTAGTAGAGACTCTGTCTCAAAGTAAAAAGTAAAAAGAGGTCTGGGAATATAGCTCAGTGGTGGAGTGTTTGTCTAGTATGCACAAGGTCCCACATTCAATCCTCAGACCTTTGAAAAAACACAAGAAAGAAAACTGACCCCAGTGTGGGGGATGCGACCATCTAAAACTATCTTGTTAAAAAGACGATATCATGATAGCAAGTTCTCAAGTGAACAGGACTGAACTATGAAATTTAGGGCTTAATAAGAGTAATTTCAAAAATAGAAATGCCACACAGGCCTTATAAACTGTGAAGTGCCCTGCTCCGGCTAGTCACATGAGAGGCAGAGGAGAACCTAGCCTCAGCTCAGAGGACTTTAGAGCTCAGGGTCTTAGGTATGTTAGACAAGCACTATACCACTGACTGAGCTACTCAGAGTTAAGGTCTAACAAGAGGCCCAGGCTAGCCTTGAACTCAATCTGTAGCCTGGCCATATCTGCCTTGAACTTGGGTCCTGCATCAGCCTCTTCCACAGCTGGGATCACAAGGCTGCACCACCAACTCAAGTTCTGGTGGATATCCTCTGACAGTCTGGCTCCAGACTGTGTGCTGGGTCAAAACAGAATTAAACAGGCAGGTGGTGGCCACGGGGCGGAAGGAAGGTGACCCGAGCATTCATATGCATGTATCAAGAGAAAATTACAGGCAGAGACCTCTCTCACCACAGCTCTGCCCACAGGTCCATGCCCTGCTCCAGGCACCAGGGACAGAGGACAGACTCACTCACAATCCAATTTGTTGTACTTCCACCTTCGAGGGAGGGCGGGTTACGAAGTAAAAAAAGAAGAAATCCCATTATCTTTATCTGTCCTTCCCATCGTTCAGCAGAAAATGCAAACGGGGGAGAGACAGCTACCATGAACTCTTTACATTTCACCCAGAAGAGGGTGTATCTTTTATTGCATACAGGGATTTCTTATTTGAAAAAAAAAAATCTATCTTTCAGAATGACCTCAGTGGCAAGACAGAGGTGGGTTGTTAGCTATCCAGGGCTATTGACAGAGAGTTGGCTTAAATCAGAGGAATGGCTGGAGGTCACAGGCAGTGGCAGAGAGAGGAGAAAGGCCCATGGAGGAGACCAGGGAAGAAAATGGGTCTTCTCTCCACTTCCCCCTGTGAGACATGGGCCTAAGCACTGTGTCTCTCTGAGCTGCCGACTCCCCTCTCATGCTAAGAAGCTGAAGGTTAACATTTTTCTTCCCTGGTGGGTAGAAGGAGGTGTCAAGAAGCGTTTCTTATCTCAGAGGGAAAAATGCCCTGCCTGCCCCTGCTGCTATGCTCGGCCGGCCGTGGTGAGCCTCTCCTAGTCTCCTGGCCACCACTCCTGGCAGCTAGCTTACAACAGGTGTGCCCTGAAGATGGGTGATGCACGCAGGTCCTGTCCAGGTTCTCCAGGCTAGCCACAGCTATGCACTGATGGGGCCAGCTCATATATGCAGAGTGAAGTGCTTGGAGAACCCCCGCACTCCTAAAGCCTCTGTCTGTGACTACCTTTCCTTCCATACAGCCAACAGTCCGTAGTCCAGGCAGACCCTGTGTCCTTCGCTTTGGCTCCTGTGATGGTGATGGTGAAATTTATGTGACAACTTGGCAGGGCCCTAGTACCAAGATACTTGGCAAAACATTATTTGGCCTATTTGTGTGAGGTATGGGCATATAAGATTAACATTTAAATCCAGGGACGTGGGGTAAAGCAATTACTCTCCAGAATATGGGTGGGCTTCATCCAATCAGGTGAAGGCCCACAGAGAGCAAAGAGCTGGCCATCCATGAGCCAGAGGGAATTCTGTAGGCAGATGGCCCTAAGCTGCTTCCTGGGCCTCTAGCCTTCCAGTGCACCCTGAGAGAGAGAGAGAGAGAGAGAGAGAGAGAGAGAGAGAGAGAGAGAGAGAGAGAGAGATGCCCTTCAACTTACCGTGAGTCATGCCCAGATAAGCCCATCCTAAGCAGACCATATATGTAAAAATGCATCCTGGCTTACCCCAGCTTAAACACACCAGAGCACTTACAAACCCCACAGTGTGTTGGGCCAAGGCATCTGACCACAGCCTGCTTTATCTAATGTGATGAAGATCTCCTGGACAGGGTAGAACCCACCACTGGCAGTGAGCAATAGAACACTGAATGGGTATGCATTAATCCACTGTGCAAGTGGAGTATTGGCTCTGTTTCCCACGGATCCCTGCCAATCACAACTGCCCACATTACTTTAACATCTGGGGCTGGACAAAGCTCACGGAGAGATGAAGGGAATGCTGGGAAAGCTCCAATCCAAGCAGCCAGGAGTAGATGTGCTGGGATGGCAGCTGCAGGCTGGACCACTGGGAAGATGAAAACATAACTTATGCCAGGCAGGGGTGGGCTGGGGATGGATTTCTTTAGGATGATAATAGAAGTGTTAGAGTGACTTCTTCCTTCGGTCAAGTCTGGGACAGGGGCTGGTCATCTGGGGAGAGGAGGCAGCTTGTGCCACACACCCTCCACTGGGGAAGCAAGAGGCTCCAGGAGATGGAGTGGAGGGTGCCCCACTATCTTGGCTCTGTCAGGGATGACAGGGCCTCAGTCAGTCTGTGTACCAGGTGGCCGGGTAGCCCTTGGCATAGGTCGATTTGTGGTAACACTGACATTGTTTTTCATACCTTGATTTAAGCTTTCAAAGCACTTTTATCTCCATGGACAAGTCACCTCACCGCCCTCTCCCCACATGGCCAGGCACAGAAATGACTTGAGTATCTACGGAGGCTTCAATTTCCATGCTTTGCAGCCTAGTTTTGGTCTGAAGAAAATCGGAGTTTGGGGGCTGCTCCAAACTCCTGCTTTAATTTTTATAAAAAGGAACAGCTGGGCTAAGCAGGGAGGCCCTTGGGGAAACACAGCAGGACACCATCTCTCATGGGACATATCTTGGGTTCACACTGGTGAGACAGTCCTGAGTTTACACTAGCTTATGGATCCCTGCTATAACTGTCCTGCTATAGGGTAGTGTGATTCCTCGGAGGGCAACCTCAAGAGCACTGAAGTGGGAGGGGGAGTCTGCTCGAGCACCTGGGTATGAGTTATTACAGCATGTACTGCAGCATCCCTCAGACTTCTTTCTCTCATAAAGGATGGAAGGAAATGATTTTTTTTTTTTGGATGCTGGAGCCTCCATTCAAGATGGCTTCTAACTGTGGCTGTGAGACACACTATGAGAGGCACGTTATACTTCTTCACTGAAGACATACTTGATGGGTTTGCATCCTCTGATCTCTGAGGGGAGCAATTCTCCAAAACTAGCCAGCAGTTTCTTCCTCTCCCACATTGAGGGTGGGAGGTCTCTAGGAAGAGATTGGTCATACGCAGCAGCCACTAGCCCCAACACAATCTCTCTAGGACAGCCAGCGTGCACAGGAGGTGCACACTTGCTCTGCTTGGAGTTTGATGTAAAATGTTGGTCCCACCCTTCCTGAACTCCATCAGGGCCAAAGCTCACACAGCCTCCCACTGGCTTTTAATATAGCAAAGAGCTATCCCTCAGTAGCAACTGAGCCCTGCTTGTTCACGTGGAGTAGGATACTGCTTGGCTCCTTATGCAGCCACCCTGTTCTCAAGCACAGGACACATGCTCAGTGCTCCCTTTGCCTTCCAGCACCCCTGCTCTCTACCAGCTCTTCCCAGGCCCTCACTCACTTCACAGGTACTGATGCTGAGGATCTGAGGGGTGGCCCCACCCTGGGCTCATAGATAAAACAACAACACAAATGTGGGTGCTACCTGGTTATCCCACTCAAGCTATTAGAGAGTACCCTGGAATAGTTTGAGAGAGATTGGCACCACAGCCCTCCATCCTGGAACCATTTTGTTCCCACAGGGGCCTTTGCTCCATTAATCTATGGGGCCCCTCATGGCAGCAGACATGGGTTAAATGCATACAGACATACAAGTCCACCCACTTCGAAGGACTGGTGCCCTGGGATACATCCATGGATACACACCCCCAACTCCCCTGGTGAATAGATGCCTCCATGCCCCCAGAACAAGATACCTAGAGACACCTCCCAAGAAGAGGGGTACAGGGTCCTGCACACATCTAGTCTTAAGTCCAGTGAGAGAGGACAGGGTTAAGAGGGCATATGAGACATTCAAGGAGATAATAGAATATTCTGATGCTCAGGATCTTTAGGCATCAGAATCTGGGGGGAGGTGGCAGTTGGGGTAGGAGGCTGAAAAATCATCCTGGATTTGAGCAAAATCATAGATGCCCATCTGTCTTATTCGGCTTAGTGGAAGCCAGCTTAGAGGCCAGATGGGTGCTCAGGGCTTCTGGGGGCTCTTCCCACCCCACCATGTTGCCAGGACTTCACACTCTCCTCACAACCCTCCAGGATCCACAAATAGTCACCGCCAGTGTCCTTAGCAGCATCTTCCCCCTGCATGGTGGAGACGCCCCACGTAAAAACTCCCAGTGCATCACCCCACTGAACTCTTTCTATGAAGTAGTTGCTGTAATAATCTCTACCTCAGAGGAAGAATGCACAGATAGTTTAAGTACTTTGGACAAGGTCCTATAGCAAGGACCTAGGGACATCAGGCCTTGCATCCAGGTGCCACAACAATGCTCGAATTGCCCCTTTCCATCCTGGTCTCTTCAGAGCCTCCTACAGAAGGCATCCCCAGTATGACATTCTGCAGAGCACTCAGGCAAAGTACAAATGGCCCTGGGTGGAATGCCCTTGTTTATACAGGCTCTGCCATCTCTTCGTGGAACACTCAGATACCGTGTCATCCTGCTCCACAGCAGGCCGTCACATCTCATTTTCCTCTATTCTCTCTCCATCCTTCATGGCTGACCCGGATCCCTCGAGCTGTGAGTATTCAGCAAAAATTATAGGCACAGCACAGAGGGGAGGGAGAGCCTGGAGGGAACAAAGGCAGGGTTGAGACCTTGGCCACAGGGACTTGGAAGAGCAGGCTTTGCATTTCCATCCCTCATTTAGATATGACACCTGCAATTCCAGCCCTCAGCCACTCAAAGGACCACAGAGGCATTCCCTGACAGGAAGGTTTGCCAACAGAGTACCTAGTGACCTTTGCCCCCTCTTCTGTTTGAGGCCCATGGACCTTCTCCTACCAATCCTAAGCAGACTACAAAGGCAAACTCAGCCTGCATCCCTCCACCCGCTGCTTCTTCTCTGTTCCCTGAAGCCCAGCTCCACTTACTGCTGATCCGAGCAGGCACGAAGTGACCAAGACTAGCCACAGGGTTAGCCCTGGGAAGCCGCCCTCTTACCCAGGTCCATGTCTGCAGCCTTGGGCCGGTGGGAGCATGGCACATTCTTAAAGATGGCATCCAGGATCTTCTCCTTGACCTGTGTGATGGTGTCACAGTTGAGGATCTTCACTGGGACCTCTGGGCTGTTGGCATTATCTGGACTGGCACAGCTCAGGACCTGAGGGGAGCAGGGAGAGGTCACATGGATGAGGACAGTGTGAGAGACTCCCAGATCTCAGCAGCACTCTGGGATCCTTCATGAATGAGTCCCCTCCATAGTCCACTCCATCCTGTCCAGAGGATGTCCCGATGAAGACACCATGTTTTCAACATCACTGCAGGAGTATAAGCTGTATCCTCAAACCCTTATCAGGGCAGATGCTCTGATTTCCTAAAGGGAACAGTGTTCTGTGAAGAAAGTGATGGCAGAGAGAGTCTCTAACAGAAGAGATATAGAAGTATGCACACATGTGCAGTCCCTAGCTTGTACACCTGTGTGCGAGGGGACTCCCTATTATCTAGACCATCCCTCCAAACCCCACTTCATGCATCACTCTTCTTCTTATTCCTCTAACACATAATCACAACTCCCTCCCTCCCCACCCCCCACCACACGTATGCACTCAAACATACCCTCACACACATGCTCAGTACTAATGAGAAACTGGGCTCCCGTTTTAAAAGATTTAATAGCTTTGGTTTGGGGAAGCCTTTCAGGCTGATTGGGGGCTGCTGGATCTATTAGAAACTTAATGTATTCTTTAAGTATAAAAAGATGCCCTTTAAAAACTACAGCTTCAGGCCCCCCAAGAGGCCTCCCTGGCTGTGAACCTGCAGTCCTGGCCAGGTGACGAGGCTGCTGCTCATGCACGGCCTCTAGTTCTTATTTCAGAGAGAGGTGGGAACATTAAAACCGCTTCACCAGCCGTTTGCTTCCTTTAAGAAGTTCAAAGCGTTCCACTGGCCATCCTCATAGTGGGTTCTTTCTGATACTTTGGGGCTCCCTGGGTGGATCTCAGGGGAACAGGAAGGGGGTTATGGGAGTATAGGAATGATCAGGGGTTTACAAGAGCCAGGCAGAGAGGCCCGGGTACTGGGGGACTTGAGGCCAGATGTCTTGCTGCTCTGGGCTCCCAACTAGCCTTTTGTCCCTGGAGCCTGAGCGCTCTGTGTCCCTCTCCTCCTCAGAACTTCAACACCCCCATGCCCCTCCCAGGAACCATTTCCCAATAGCCCCATCTGGCCTGCAGAACCAGACTCCAGCCCTCCTCCTGCTCCATGTGGTGGTAATCAGAACCCTAGCCCTGGATTCCTGCCTCTCATTAGCAGCTAGACTGCTCTGAGCACAAATGGGGAACATGCTTATTCCATTAAGAAGAAGGGGGGGTGGGGAACCCTAAATCTATAAAAATCATACTCTCACCTTCAAAATGTCCTGAACTGAAAATATGGGAGTCCAGGCCTCTGAGCTAAATGTCTATGAGGGCCTTCTCCCAGCCACCCCCTCCCTCCTGCTCTGGCCACCATGCTGTCCTGTTGCCAGGCCAGAAATGGGCAGCTCAGCCTCCTCTCGGCAGCAATATAGCCTTGTCTGAGCTCTTTCCCCAGAAGGGCCGTGAGAGACTTCAGGGTGATCTCTCACAGCATGCTCCAGGGCAAGCACCCATCTTCCAGAGTGGAAGCAGTAGCCCACAAAGGAAAGGGCCCCAGGCTCAGAAAAAGTCTTCTACCCCTGGCTCTCAACCGCTTTAGAATCATCCACCTGGCGCTTTCTCTACAAGTTCCCAGAGAGGCTCTAGCCATCTGGTGGACTCCCAGGGAACATTTAGCATTCTATCAGGTTCCTGAGAAGGAATGCAACCTTCAAATAGGCTCCTAGTGGGGGACTCCTAGACAGTTAGTGGGCTCCCAGGGGACACACATCTAACATTTTGGCAGGTATGAATCTTATACCCCAGCAAGTTCCCAGATATCTAGCACTCAGGCAGGTAACCTGGCAGGCAAATAGTCTTCTAGTAAGCTCCCTGGCAGGTAACCAGGTGAGTGTCTAGCACTCCAGCAGGCTCCCTGGCATTGCAATGTAAATCCTGGAGCACTCCCATGGCTGTGCTGACTCAACCTCCATCAGGACAAGGTCACTATCAGCAAACTCAGAGCTCCCGCTCCCGGGGCTCCTCCGGTCATTGCATGTCCCCCACACATCCCACCTTTATATTTGAGCTGCTCAGCAGGAGTCTCTGCTGCTCTGTCTGTCCTGGTGCAATACCATCTTCCTGCATCACCCCTGGATGGAGTGTCCCCCTCACATGGAGGAGCACCGTTCCCGCAGCCCTGCCCTCTCCAAGCAAAATCACTGCCCATTTCTCTTCCATCCTTTCCAGCCTGTCTTCAGATCTTTCCAACTTAATGATCTCTTCCCATTCTCTGTAAGTCTGTCACCTGACACCAGCCGGGCACAATCTTTCAGCCCGTGGAAATAAGGGCTGCTGCAATTTGGGGACAGAGCATGATTGTGATCACAGTTCACTGTGTTGCAAGGGGATGGAGGAGGGTGGGACAGGAGACGTTGAAAGGTATTCCTCTCTCATTAAGAAATCCATTCAAGCCTCTATTTTTGGAAGGGTGTGTTCCCTCTTCTCTATTTTAATTGCAGTCTGTGACTTTCTTCTGTGAGCCGGGAACTGAGAGGGAACAGAAGCCTCACTCACAGGCTGTGTCTTTGGGTTCTCAGGAAGTCAATCTATTGGGATTCCCGGGGCCCTGTGAAAGATGGCAATAGGAGAACCAGAGTGGCCTTCCAGAGAGCAGAAATCGCTTTGTTCTGGGGGGCCTGGCCATAGGATCTGAACATGCCTATGCGAGCATCTGTCCCTACCTTCATGACCTCCACCCTCATCCCTACTGGGCCCTGACTACTCAATTCAGCACCTATCTGGAACCATTCTGAAGAGTGACTGCGATACAGCCGAGCCTCTGGGTACCCTGGTGCATGGGCCACAGGAAGCAGGGGCGGGCAAATGGGAGCACCTGCCTGGGCCCCACAGCAGACCAAGTTGGAAAGGCGATCTGTTCAGTATTTTCAGCTTTCCTTCTTCAGGACAGGCCCGCCCAAGTGCCAAAGCTGACCTACCAGAGCTGAGGGGAGCAGTGAGAGGGCTCACCAGGGTCTTGTATTCGATCTGCTGCCGGATGAGCTTGTCCTCACTCAGGGAGTAGCGGGCCTCTCCTGTGATGGCGTCGATAGGGCCCTTCTCCATCTGCTGCTTGATGGCACAGAACAGGGAGAACAGGGGCTCCCCGGCACACTCCTTCATGAGAGAAGAAGCCTCCGATGAGGGTTCAGAGATCCGGGGTATGCAGGCCCACCCCATCGTCCTTGCTTTCCTGATCCCGCTTGCTTCTTAGCTCCCTTTTCCCATTTCCTCTTCTGTACTCTTCAGATTTGCAGGGGTCCCCACCCTGTGGACCCAGGTGATGCTGTTTCTTCCTGCCACCTGTCTGGAACCTGCCCTTCCTTCCTTCCTTCCTTCCTTCCTTCCTTCCTTCCTTCCTTCCTTCCTTCCTTCCTTCCTTCCTTCCTTCCTCCCTCCCTTCCTCCCTCCCTCTCTTTCTCCTATTCTCTCTGCTCCTTCTCCCACCCCACCCTGCTTTCTTTGTGAGCCAATCAAGAAGCAGAGGTTGGTCCTGTGAAGTTCATGACTAGAAGCCCAGCAGCTCGGCTCTTCTGCCTCCCCAGCACATCCTCAGTTTATCTGCAGCATTATGCCTTGTGTGCCTGCCCTGGAACCCTTAATCAGTACCATAAGTCTGGTATTGGGGGTGGGGGGGAAGAGGAGCTGGGAGGGGAGAGAAAACCGGGGACTCACAGATGACTTGTGTTTAGCTAAGAATGGGAATTTAGCTTTAGGACCACACGGAACCCTCTGAGTGGTACATTGGCCTCTCATGGGAGGAACTAGCCAGGGGTCTCTCTTCAGTTCAGTTTCCTGATAATAAAGAGCAACATTTCTTGTGGGGTGGGTGCATCAGAGTTCATAAGAATGGACATAGGAACAGTGGTCTATATCCACTAGGAGAGGAAGAACCATAATAGGCCTGGAAATGGTCCTCATCCCATCCTACCTTGAGAAACTTGTAGAGGAGGAAGGTAAACCAATTGGTCAGCATCTTCTCAGCCACTGACTCAGTCCTGGCATCAGTCACCGAAGGAATCAGGGAAAGAAGACAAAAAGGAGCTGGTCAAAGGCTGTGGCTGGGTAGAGTGAGGAAGAACCTGCCACCATCTTGCCGATTACAGTGTCTGGTGACCTAATAATGTACAGGAGGAGTCTTATGGCCTGCCAGTCCTCCGGGGCTGAGAATGAGCTATTTCTGAAAATCAGGAGCTTGGCTTCTGGGCGTGCCTATGCTGTGTGCCGGTTTTTCCTTATCTACAGAGGTGCTATCCCATACCAGTTCACAGCAATGGCAATGATCTTCACCTGAGCTATCCAGCTGCTGCTGGTTACATGTGGCTACTGAACACCTGAAATGTGGCCAGTGTGTCTGAGGAGCTGAAGTTTGTATACTTTATCTACTGCAATTAGGTGTAAGTCATTATGTGTAGCTGAAGATTTCCTGTTGGATAGGACAACCTTAAAGGAACTTGGGGAGGGACTGATGCATTCCTATTGATAAAGAATGAAAGAAAATCAAAACAAAAGGCAGGGGGATACTAACTGGGCAGGGCATGGGAAAGAAGACGGCATAGGAAGGCGATCACGGTAGAGAGACAAGGTATTCCATATGGAGCCTGTTGCCTTATCTCGACTCATAGCCTTGGCAGCCACACAGAGGGGAACTATAGCTCATCACAGATATGTTAGCATTGTCGTATCTCAAAGGCTGCTGCATACATCTATGGAAAGCTTCTGCCATGGCAGGGAATACTTTTTTTGAGTATAACCCCCATCTTTTATGTCATGAATCAAGCCTACTTACTCTTTTCTTTTGTAAAAGAAGATGCCACTGGGCGGTGGTGGCGCACGCCTTTAATCCCAGCACTTGGGAGGCAGAGGCAAGCAGATCTCTAAGTTCCAGGCCAGCCTGGTCTACAATGTGACTTCCAGGTCAGGCAGGACTAATCAGAGAAACCCTGCCTCGGAAAACCAAAAGAGAAAAGAAGAAAGGAAGAAGATGCCGTGGCAGCGTCACTGGCTTGAGCTGCACACATTCGGGGATTGAAACTTGCGCGGAGAGTAGTTTGCCAGCGCCGGAGACAAACTAGCCCGTCTAGACAGGTTTGGTGAATCGAAATACGCAGTTGCTAGAAAATACTGATAACGGAAACCTCCAGGTGTTTAGACAGCTGCTGGTACGCAGTGAAGCCAGGGAACAGAAAGAAGGAAGACTATCGGAGACTGGGGGCGGGGATAGGGCCTGGGGGGACAGGGGGTAGGGGCTGGGGGGGCCGGGAGGGGGTAGGGGCTGGGAGAGCAGGGTAGGGGCTGGGGGCGCAGGGTAGGGGCTGGAGAGCCAGAAAGAACAGAGGAAGTGGGGGGGGGAGTGCAGGAGCATCGGGGAGCACAAGTAGAAAACAAGGAGAGGAGACAGAGACCCAGAGTGAGACCATGAGACCATGCCAGGAAATTGTCAGTGGGAGTGCTGGCAGGCGGCGGCAACCCTAGAATTATGCCAGTGGGTGGCTACAAGGCGAGAGTAAAACAAAAATCAAAATTATCTACCTTGTCGTTAGCAGAGCTGTGGGATTCTCCTTGGCACTGTAGCCTTTTGCAGCTGTGCAGGCAAATGTGTACCCCTCCCCCCCCAAAAAAAAAGCCTAAAGCGAGCTCTTTGGAAAGCTAAGTCTATCTATCTGCCAGGCAGGGGGGTGAGCACCACTGAGGCCTGGAGTCTGACCCAGAGACCGCAGGGCAACAGGTCAGGAAGACAGGATGGAGTGGTCTGGGCAGAGAGCCGGATGTGGTGGTTTCCATGGTGTTTTCTAACTGCAGCTGTACCATGGCCGGGCATTGGGATAACAGCTGAGAAGAGAAATGGGCACCCTTCAGATGGATGCCCACACAGAATGGGAGTCCTGTGTTTTCCAACCAAGCCAAAATCACAGGGTACGAATGGATGACACTTGTCTAGCCTGGTGGGTTGTAGAAACATGTGGCAGGAAGAGTGTGTTATGGTTCAGATGAGATGCTTTCCACAGGTTCATGTGTTTGAACACTGGGTCCCTAGCTGGTGGTGACGCTGTTGTTTTTTTTGGGGGGAGGGCAGTCATGGAACCTATAAGAGGTGGGACCTTGCTGGGGGAAGAAGGCCACTGGCCACACAGCCACCATTACCTTGATCCTCACCATGATGCCCTGAATCTCCCCAAACCATGACCCCAAATAAACCATTCCTGTTTGAGTTTGCTTGATCAGATGTTTGGTGACAGTGATGAGAGACCTAACAGCATCTACCTTTGTCCAGCAGGGTCAGGACCCGCTGTCCATCAGGGAAACTGGAGCCTATGGCCGGGGTCAGGACCTGCTGTCCACCAGGGAAACTGGAGCCTGTGGCCGGGGTCAGGACCTGCTTGCTGGGCTGCACTGAGTCAGTTGCCCCCAAAGACCTTCACTTCCTGCTTCTCAAACTGTAACACACATTCAAGTTACTTGGTTCCCTGTTAAACTGTAGATTCTCATCAGGTCTGGGAGGGCCCTGGTGGCTTTATTTCTATTGTCTTGTATGCTGCTCTTGTTGCTGGCCCATGAACAACCTGGGGTCTTTTTCTACTTCTAGTCCTGGCTGAAATGAGGCCAGGTCATGGCCTAACTGACCTCTGACACAGAACTATAGGAGAAAATGACATAATTCAGGGAGCAGAAGGGCAGGGGTATAATGGAGTGCAGATATATGGTGAGCTGGGCTGTAGGCATGCAGGTAATGGGTGGGCCTGGCCTCCCACAGGTCAGTGTTTCATCCTTAGGAGACAGAGCTGATCCCTCTGCAGCCTGCCTGGTGTGCATGAAGGGCCCCAGGAGCCATACACAAGGGTTGGGCTGGGGTAAGGGTACTCTGACCCCTGCTGGCCATTGCAGGCCTCTCTCACCTCCTGAGCAGTAACTTGGGGTGGTTCTTGCTCTCCAGGTTCTTATCAATGAGGTCAGCCAGCAGCTGCTTCAGCACATCAGTGGCATACTCTAGCTTGCTCTGGAGTACCGTCATGATGAGAGAGGCCACGTTACCTCGGTCACGCATGGAAAAGCTGCGTTGAGACTCAAGAGTGCGGATGAAAGATAACAGGAAGACCTTATTGTTGATGAGCTGTGCGAAGAGCTTCAGGCCTTTCTCCACACGCTCCTGCCGGTAGCCTGGGACCTGTGGGGAGATTTCGGGTCCTAACATGAGCTGCTGGGTGCCCCATTTACTGCTTCACAGAATAGGCTCCCACTCCCTCTATTCTAGGCACAGTTGATCTGGCTAACACTACCACGTCCTTCTCTGGTGTCAGGCATGGGGCTTAGTATCTTTTCAACCTCCTTCACAGCCCACAAAGTGGAGAAGTAGCTACAGTTTTGAGACATAGCCACTAATACCAGGAGAATCAGCCACAGTTCCCAAGAAGTAGCAATGAGATTTGAACCCACCTGTGCTAGACTCTAGAACCTCAGCTCTTCCCTGATGGTCGTGCAGAGCCAATGAAGGGCTCTGACCAGAACTGCTGTGGTTTGTGTCCTGCCTGAGGGATTGCCAGGCCTGGGCTCCCAGCTAACCTAACATCCACCTGCTGGGGATGTCTTTCTGTATGCTGTGAATGTGTTGCTCTCATTGATTGATTGATAAATAAAACAGTGATTGGCCAGTAGACAGGCAGGAAGTATAGTATGGGCAGGATAAGCAGAGAGGAGAATTCTGGGAAGTGGAAGGCTGAGTCAGGAGACGCCGCCAGCCACCGCTGCCACCATGAGAAGTAAGATGTAAAGTACCAGTAAGCCACAAACCACATGGCAACTTATAGATGAATAGAAATGGGTTAATTTAAGATATAAGAACTAGATAGCAAGAAGCCTGTCACGGCCATACAGTTTATAAGTAATATAAGTCTCTGTGTGTTTACTTGTGTCTGAGAGGCTACAGGAGCCAGGTGGGCTGAAGAAAACTCCAGCTACACCCACCTCTTCCTTCTCCATCCCCAAAGGTCCTGTGGTTAAACAATCAAGATGACTGGATTCCCCTTGGACTCTGCTACCACCACACTCTGTGTGTTAGTTAAGGATTTAGTTGCTGTGAAGAGACACCATGACCATGGCAATTCTCACAATTCAATTAAGTGGGTGGTATACAGTTTCAGAGGTTTAGGCCATGATCATCGTGGCAGGACATGGTGGCATACAGGCAGGTATGGTGCTGGAGAAGGAGCTGAGATTGGAGAAGGAGCTACATCTTGATCCCCCAGGCAATAGGAAATGGTCTGAGTGTCACACTGAGCAAAGCTTGAGCAAAGGAGACCTCAAAGCCCACCCACACAGTGACACACTTCCTCCAACACGGCCACACTTACTCCAGCAAAATCATATCTCCTAATAATGCTACTCTCTATGAGCTTATGGGGGGCAATTACACTCAAACTACCACATTATGTAAGCCTGTACAAGTTCACTTATCTCTTAGGGACCTCAACTGACATACTGTAGAAAAGGAAGAGACAGGCCTCTACGGAGCACCCTGGTGTTCTCTACCCAGGGGAAGACAAAGAAGGTGACTCTTCCTTCTTCCCTGAAGGGTAGGGTATTTGGGAAATCCCCAGGAGGGTGCAATCATCTTGAGAGATACTTGTTGGCCACACTTAGCTGAGCATGGAAGACAGTCCCTGGGATGTACAGAAAGAGGCACAGAAGCCCTATTCAGAGGAACCTCAGGCTGGTGTCTCCCAGATGCCCAGCAGCAATGGAATGGATGGGTGCTCCATAGCCCTGAGAAGGAACGACCTACTACTAGCCATGGCAATGTGGCAAATGCTGTGAACACACTCAATGAAAAGGACAGACACTTGAGTGGGTTCACTCTTCACACAGCATCATTTACACACTGATTTGGGACAGGAGCGATAACTCAAGGGTAATCAGAAAGTGGTTTTCTTGGGCAGTAGGGAGGGGCACATAGATGCCTGGAGACCTGGTACTGCTCTGCCTCTTGACCTGAACAGTGGCTTGATGGGTGGGACAGGAGGGCTTTCTCGGGGACCTGTCAATCACTGTGCTCTGTAGTGATGTATGTGTGTTGCTCTGCTTGTTTGCTTGTGAGAAAACCAATGCACTCTTAGGAATGCAGCCACAGACTTGGTCCTCATAGGGATCCTTCTTGGAACACTGAGCAGCTCTTGTCTCCTTGAGTGCATGGAGGTCCTAGGGTATGGTGAGGCAGGAGAGACAGCCAGCAGAGATGCCAAGGGAGCAACTTAAGGGCTATGTCCTAACCCCTCAGGTCTTTGAGAAGGACTGTCCTGTATGGCAAAGTACAGAACACAGCTTCAGAGCTGGTCAAGCTTGGGTTAAATTCTGTCACTGTTACTCACTAGTTGTCAATGTCTTCACCAGAAGAGCATATTAGTTCTTTCAACAGCTCGTTCTATGCCAAATCCTGTTTGGACTGGTTTGGATATATTGGCCCATTTAATCCACACAATACTCTAGGGTACGGGTTCTGTTAGGACCACTGGACAGCATGAGGACATCTTCCTCAGGCTCCCAAGACAGAAGCCTCCAAGCTAGGCCATGACCCAGGCAGTCATTACTATGTCCTACCCTACCCAGGAGCCATTGCTTGGGTTCAGACAGCTCATGAGAACCCTCTTGCACTGAGTACCACACACAGCTGAGTCACAAAGGGCAGGGATTTTACCCTGCTCTGCTCCCAGGTTTCAACTGGCAAGGGCTGACGGAGGCAGACAGAGATGGCCTGTTGGCTCCAGGTCACAGAAGATGGCAGAAACAGTTATGGTCCCCGTGACTCAGAGCCTTTGTGTTCTGGATTCAGGCATAGGCAGCAGGATGGTGTCAGCTAGAGGCCAGTTCCAAGTCCCCACCTCCTCTGCAGAGGGCACACTGGGCCTCCGTCTACTCTGCTTTGAAGAGGTCTTAAGCGAGCTCTCCTGGTAGCAGGGCATTCTGGGGGTTCTGGAGTCTTAGAGGAAGCTGGTCTGTTCCCAAAGCAAGTCTTCTGTCTTTCCTCTGGCTGCAGTGCCAGTGCTTGGAAGGCCAGATAATGACAGAGCCAAGAGGATACAGTGGGGTACCAGCCAGGACACCCTGGCAGCTCATCTGTCCCTCATCATAGCCCCACCCCTGAGTCCCTCGTTGTCACAAGAGGGCCCAGCCTTGGCTTACCTTATGCCTGGTTCCTTTGGTTCCCCAGTCCATGGCGGACTGATGCAGTACTGGCAATGGAGACATGGTAGCCTCGCTCTGCCATAGGTCAGACATTCATCTACCACCTGTCTGCTTCCTCCTGACTTTTCCCCAAACCTGTGACTGCCCCCTCACACACATGATCATGCTTTACTTCCTCCCTTTTCACTGCCCCTCAGAATGATTCCTCTACTACTTGAACCAACTATAATAGATAATACTATTTACCGGCACTGTGTGCAATGCACATTATGTGTGTTCTTAATGGTCTTGCATAGGACAGTTTCTCAGAGAAATTACCACACTTGTCCCCAGGCCACCCTACTGCTAAAGGGTAGTGCTAGATTTTCAAACCCAAACTCCCTGCCTGTCACCATGTCTGCCCTTCTCCTGGACTCAAGGGCTGACTGAAAGCTAACACAGACTTCTCCCTGCAGCCTTCTTCTCCCAGGTACACCCTCCCAGCTGCTCAGGCTGTCTGTCAAAGGCAGTGGTGGCCACGAGCAGGTTTGGCAGGGCAGCATATTAGAGAGGACACTGTGACAGCCCCATGGCACCCTACTCCATGAAGACCCACTCTGAACCCATTGTGTGGGTTTCTCTTGCACCTTAAAAAATTCACATGCCTGTGGCCAGCAAGCACCTGGGGCCCAGGGCAGGACAGTTTTGGCCAACTTCCTGCAGGAAAGGTACCATGGTCAGCAGCCTAGGCTCTGGAATCAGAGAACATAGGAACTGCTTATGGAAGAGAGCTCCAACCCCTCCAGAGTCTACTGCCTCATCTATAAAATGAGAATATGAGGGTCTCCGTCATAATGTTTTATGAACACTCAATAAGATGATGCACATGAAGTACTTGGCATGCAGCATGTGCACAGGATCAGCAGCTGTTTTACTGCCTGCCTCGGCACATCCTGGGCTGCTGTGTTCTGGTCTCTGTGTGCCAGGAGTTTCTAGATATCTAACACACATCGCTGTCTGTCCTGGTGCTGGTGGCGGACATTTTCTCTCCGTTTGATAGAGTGGAGATGGAAGCGAAGTATCTTGGAAAAGGGTATCCAGACCACCATTTTCATACTTTGCTACCCCCTCCCCATGCCTGGCCACAGTCACTCTGAAACCAAATATTCTTTATTACCCAGATGGTTCTCCACTTTAGTTGAATTCTGTGCCTATAAAACTGGATTGTAAATTTTAATTGTAACCCAATAGGTTAGAATTTGGGAGCCAGTGATGGGTCAAAATCGGGAGTATGTGGCTGGCAGCTCTTTGTGTTTTTAAAGTACTGCTGTATGGCTAGGGCTAGGAAAGTCTCTTCTTCAAATGCCCCCACTTGCCCCATAGTGACCTACCAAAGCAAGAGGACATGCCCTCTTCACACTTTCTGCTGTGGTCATGTGTCCCATGAAGATGAAAGGTTAGGGAAACCCTGCTTTCACAAATGGGCTATCTCCACACCCATTGATGTAGATTTTCTTCTACGTACACGATTTAATGTTGGATATATTAAAATAACAAATCTGGCATGGTTTGGGGAGGTTAGATTTACTGGAAATGTATTCATACTGTGAATTGTGCTCTGATGGTTAAAATGAGAATCTTGTCAAACATTCCATATTAACAGTGGATGTAGAAAATTTTTTCAGATGGATAAAATGTATACCGTACAGATGTAAAGTTTTCTATGTAAAAAATTCTGTACAACTCTCTGTACAATATTGATTCTCATCTGGCATATCTAATCAGGTTATAGGTCAATAAAGTTTTTGAATTATAGAAAAAAAGGAGGAACTTTCCATAGTAAGAATAAGTTGGAAACCAACAAATAATAGTCCAATAGACGACAGAAGGCATACAAACCTAGGCTAAGGTAGGCATGGTATAGTTTGATTTCTGGGCCCAATTTTGACATGGGATTAGAAAATCCCATTTAAAAGTTGCATCCTCATGTAGACTTGGGATTTTGAACTAGCAAAATGAGGAAAATAACTCTCTATACCCTTCCTGGTTGAATTCTTAGGTTATGCCCTCTGATGCCCACAGACAGAATATCGCTCTTCTTGCTAGGACTGCTGTCTTCTCTAGGACAGACAGACAGACAGACATTCTTTCACTCAGATGTTTCCTGCACTGATACTCTATGCCAGGGTCCCTACCTTGTGGGAAGTCAGATCATAACAGTGAGGCACATAGTCTATACATCGACAACACACTCGGGCACATGGACAGTGACCTGTCTGCCAGCCACCCCAACTTCTCTGAACTAGGAACTCTCAAGCTCTTTTGTGTCCTGAGAAGTCTGGTGTCCGGGGGCAAATTAAAGTGAGGCTGAGGAAAGATGAAAGACAAGGGAAAGAGTAAGAAGGGGGAGGGGCAACGGTGATGAGTCCAAACAAGGCGATGGACAGAATGAGTGTCCTGAGAAACCTAGTATCTTTGTACATAAATATATAACACATGTATAAACACACACACACACAGTCACACACACACACACACACACACACACACACAGACACACACACACAGAGTCATACACACAAACAGTTATACACATATTGAGAGAGACTAGAGGTTCATGGCCAGAGAGAATGTCGAGCCATTGCCTGTAGACTCTGAAAGTACTCAGTAGTGTCTATCAGTCAGAGTGGCAAGGAGAGCATCTCTAAGACAGAAATATTAGTAATATTCATTTTCTCATTACAAAATTACACACATAAACACACATGCATGTGTACGTATACACACACACACACACACACACACACACACACACACACACACACACACACGTCTGCATCATCCAATAAGCAAGTATGGAGAAATACAGGTACTACAAGCATTGCTGTGGATGAGCAGTATGTGCTGCCATGGTACACAGCCTGCTGCAACCAACGAGACCCCAAGTGGACACTCCCTCCAACATCAGCATCTACAACACTGAGCAAAGGGTCTGTTTTCAATGTGTGGACAATTCTAAGTTGCATCGTATTTTCCATTGTTGCTTCATCTGTGTATTCTGCTTCCTCCTGATAGGCAAGCAGAGCTGAAGAACACCCAGAGAGAGTTCTGGTTATAGGCTTGCAGCCAGAAGAAAACATGAAGTCTAGCGGCCTTGATTATTCTACTTCTGACTCTGCCCCTAGCAGCTGTGTGTACTAGCCACTCACTGGGCTTCTCTGCCCTCTTTCTTTGCTCACCCATAAAATGGGTTCACCTCATCCTGGGAAGGTAGATGGCTGAATGCATAGAAAGTACTTAAGGAATTTTAATGTCTCACAACTTCTAATGATCATCCCTCAGGATTCTTATTTTTCTCCCTTTTCCTCATTCATCATCTTTTCACTTTTCTCTGGTATTTATCTTGGTAAGCCATTCTAAAGTCCTTTTGGAAGAGAGTGTAATATGAATATATGCATAATTGAGCTGGTGTGCTGGACAGTAAATGGGAGGTTGGGGGTCCCTGATAGCAGTACAACAGTGGGGTTTTTTATCATCTCCACTTCCACCTCATATATCACTCGTCTTCCCCAAGGAAGCATCACATGGTAAAATCCCTTATATATTTATTGAGCACCAATTAATTAGCAAAATCCTTTATACTGTGGTTTACTAAAAACCTAAGTCTGTGAACTGCCCATGTTTATCTGGCATAATTTTTGGTTGTGCATACACTGGATTGGTTTGAATGAGAATGGCTCCCATAGGCTCACATATTTAAATGTGTGGTCCCTAGCTGGTGGCACTGTTCAGAAAGAATTAAGGGGTATGACAGTATAGGTGGGCTTAGTGGTTTCAAAAGCCAGTGCCAGATCCCAGTTAGATCGCTCTGTTTCATGGTTGTTGCCTTAAGATGCAAGCTCTCAGCTAACGCTTTAGCACCTTGCCTGCCTGCTTGCTTCCATGCTTCTCACCGTGATGGTCATAGTCACCTTCTGAAATGGTATGTCCCAGTAAATGCTTTCTTCTATTAGTCATCTTGGTCATGGTGTCTTATCACTCAATAGAAAAGTATCTAAGATATACATGCATAGTTTTTCTTGGAAGAGGGTTCTCTCTACCCATTCAATCTTGTAAGACTCCAAAGCCCCACTGAAACCTGTGCTCTGAGGCTCCCTGTTTTGGCCCCCTCTCTACCAGGGAACTGGCAAGATGTGCTATCTCCCTGGCCTCAGCTTTCTCACTTCTGAATCAGGATGCTGGGCTTCCTGCTATAATATCAGCATAGGGATGGGTACCGATTCTTACCTCAAGGTCGCGTAGCACAGGATGGTCTTCAATCCCTGGGAAGAGCACCCGCATGGTGTAGGTCCTGTAGTCCAGGAAGGGAATCCCAGCTCCATCCAGGTCACTGGTAAGCTCATGGATATCGGTCTGCAGCTCTGCAAAAGCTAGCACAAAGGGAAGTCTGTGAGGGGTCTGGGATGACCGCTCACTAGGTAACGTGCTTGCCTTGTAAATATGAAGACCTGAGTTTGAGCCCTACAACCCTGGTTAAAAAAAAAATCCCTGGGCATGGTGGCACACACCTTTAATCCTATCATTTAGGCCAGACAGGAGGCTGCTGGTGCTCACCAGCATGGTTTAAAATACCAGGTGGACAGAGTCTGAAGAAAATAGCTGAGAAGCCTGTGAGATGCTGGCTGGGGCCCAGCCTAAGAGTTACCTCTCTGAGAATGTTGAGAACCCTCACCCAGGTCCCTGGGGGTGTGATCTGTGGACCTGTGCATGAAAGAATGATAGACCTAGATGGATTAGCATGGGGGAAAGCTGATCTGGGGCCTCATGTCTTTCAAACAGCAAAGGGATGGAAAGGCTGCCCTCGGACCTGTAATGCCATTGGAGTCAAAAGAGAAAGGGCTCTGGTTTGTAAAGCATGTTGGCAAGGGAACTGTAAAAGGGCAGGAGGGCAGAGGGACAGAACAGAGAGATGAGCCTATGCCTAGAGATGCACTTTGAACTGGGTTTTCTTAGCACAGTCGAGAACAATTTCTTCCAATAAAAAAAGCGTTTGGGCATCCAATTCTGGATCACGTAGTTCTCAGAACTCAAACAAGCCTTGGGCAGAGGGCCTGCCACTCTAACCAATTTCTTCTGCACAGACACGAAGGGGGACACCTTTGCGCTTCTTGCCTCAGTGCAATGCTCTCTGGCGGTGGGTTATAATTGCATGTAGGCACTGCTGTCTGTGAGAGCAGCTCAGGCCTCCAGATGGATGCAGTCGCAAGGCCCCAGCTGGCCCCTAGGAAAATCTGGCATGTGACAGAGCCCAGAGCCAAAGCTGTCATACTCCATCCTGGCACAATGCCCCCCGAGGCCATCCTCTGCCGCCTCAGAGCTGCAGCTGCTAGTCCTGCTAAGCTGTGGCATTCTCCTTGGTGCATGCCCTCCCCATCTCTGCATGCATACATGCATGCACATACATGCACACACATGAACAGATTGTATTGACACACACTGACAAAGAACAAGTCATGGTTGTTGCCTAACCAATGTTTATTTTCATTATATAAACTTAAGACTAGGAAAAAAAGAGAAGTTGGCGGGTTCAGACGGGATTCACAAGCTCAAAGGGCCCTAGGGACATCAAAGAGCAAGCCTAGTGCCCAATGGGATACCATGACATGTAAACATGACACAAGTACCCTGAACTGCACACAGGGTCTCGCATTGTCTGGTGACTATGGGAGAATTGACGTGAGGTCTGTAGGTTTCCATGAGTCTTGATACCAGGAGAGCCCCGAGGCTCACTGGTAAGGATAGGGGGCTAAGTTGGACACTAGCAGACCTGCAACCTCTTCTGGTGCTCCCTTCCTAGTGGCCCTGCTCCCCTGTTCTGTTACATGGGGGCTGGAGTTCTTGTCATGCAGTGTGACACCAGAGGCAGAGGCCCTCATGCTCCTGAACACACTCCGGTGCATGTGAGCAACTGTGTGTGCATAAAGGAAGCCAGGAGGCCTCCCTGACATGCACTGTCACAAAGCCTAACAAGCATGTCTTGATGGTCGATCTTCATTGCTAGCTTGAGTGGACTGAGACGTGCCTAGGAGATTAGTGTAACTTATCTCTGGGTGTGTCTGTAAGGGCCTTTTCAGAAACAACTAGATAGTAATTTTCAATGGATTGACTCATCCCTTGATGGATTCGTAATGTGATGGTGCTGTTGGGAGGGCTTCAATTTATGGAAGGTGGGGCTTGGGATCACGGGACACTAGTGACGAGCTGTCCTTGGGACTGTATCTCGCCATAGCCCTTTCTGTTTCTGCTCTTCTTTGCTCCCTGGCAGCTGTCAGTTAAGCACTCCACCATGCTCCCCCTGCTCCATGATGGTTGAACCCTCTGAGAGTATGAGAAAAGAAACCCTCCCTCCTTAAAGTTGGTTCTGTTGGGTTATTCGATCACAGTATTGTAAGCTGACCAACATACCTGTGCATATCTGGAGTAAAGAGCACATACCTGTATCTGTGTAATTGGAGAGGTATGCATGAGCAGGAGTGGGGTGCACAGGTGTGAGTGTGTGCCTGTTTTAACTTGTATAAGAGCATGCAAGTGAGGATGCAGAGTGGGAATCTGTGTTTGCACATGTGTGTGCCAATATATCCAAAGCTCAGGTCTGGGCTGATGTCTTCTAGTATAGGCATGGATAACTTCTTGGCTGACAATGAAATCTCCACACAAACCTTGCCCTGGGCCCGAGCTGTCTCATAAACATGCAGAAGTTGCCTTGGCATCCTGGAGAATGCCTCCATGGTCCACCCTGCATGTCCTTTGCTATAAGATGCCTGCTTCCATCCCAGCAGCATAAGTGTCCCCAGCCAGAAGCCATGGTCCCCATGGGACTCCATGGGTTTCTGCCTGCTGAGCCTTTCTTCCTCAGGGAGCTTCTAGAGGAGCCTGGCATCCCCGCCCCCTCCACTGCCACCACCTCCTCCTGATTGGACTGCTTCGCTGGCCAGGAGGAAAAGGAGGGAGTCAGGTTTGATGGGTCTGCAGTTTCCTTTAAGCCTCCAACATTCAAAGCCTCACGCCTGCCACACATAAAAGAGATTCTAATCACTACACCTAATTAGAGGGAAGAGTACATTGCAGAGAAAAAAATTAAGCAGTGTAAATATAATAAAAGGCAGTAATTAACAGTCCCACAAGGCAGATGCCAGGAAGACAGCTGAAGGATGCGGAGATGGGATGGAGCCTTGTCCCCATAAAAGAGGCGGAGCTTCCCCAGCGGGAACCTGCACTAGGCTGGAGCCCAGGTACAGGGCTGGATTAACACTGGGTGCATATTACCCACTGAGAAATACCTCAGCTCCTTCCTCCCAGGGTGGGCTTACAGAAGGATCTCCTGAGACTCTGCCAGCTAAGCTGCCTTCTTGGGTTTGACACTGCTCATCTCCCTTCATGGTGGCTCGTGTACATTTTTCAAATACAAGCTGTGAAACGCACTTCCTTTGAAATCACAGATCAACCCTACAAAATTCCCTTCCTGCTGACAGAAGAGAACTGAGGACTGCTTGCATGAATCATGGGGAGACACCCCCAGGTCCTCCCTGGAGGAGACTGTGGCCACCACCACCACCCCCCACACACACCAGAGTTCTGCATCTGGACACTGTTCTTGGTGTATAAAGGATCTCAGGAACGTATCTGGAAGGAGTAGAGAGAAAACCAGAGGTGGATTGCTAGACAGGGCTTTGGTCTGGGACCCCAGCTAAGCTCTGAAACTGGCAGAAAGGTTCTGATGGTAGAATGCCCAGTCTGTGAGGCCACCTATTGCATCCCAGCTTGCTGGCCTGTAAATAGGAGGCACACACACATATAGCACCCACACACACACACACACTCACACAAGTGCATACATGTATACACACAATCTCCAGCACTGCCTGCTGTAGTCTAGTTTGCTGGCCTGTACACAAAAGACACAAACACACAGTGTACATTTGCATACACAACTGCCACCCACTGCAGCCCCACCTGTTGGGCTAACGCACTTACAAACACAAATATAAATATACACATTCATAACATTCAGCACTGACGGATGCTGCCCGGTCTGGTTGGCATTGTAAAGAGGCACATATGTGTATAGACATACATGCATTGACTTGCAGGTGCTTACAGCATACACAACCTCTAACACTACCCACTGCCACCCAGCCTGCATGTTTGTATATGATAAGCACACACGTGTACACACACAGACCCCACACCAGGCGTCAGCGCCTGAACATTCAGTACCTTCCTTGCACTCCAGGGCCACACGGGACTCGAGGTTGTCCATCTGCATCTGGAGACGCTTCAGAGTGAGGTCACTTTCCCGGGACTTGCGTTTGTAGGCGATGAGCACCGCCACGATGAAGATGATGAGGAGACCACCAGCCACTGCGATGCTGACGATGGCGGGCAGGCTGAGTGGGCTGTCCGGGGCAATGTACACCATGCCAGGGGAATACTCCATGCCACCCACCCGTGCCTGTGGACACAGAGAAGAGAGGGATGGTAGCAGAGCAGACTGGGGAAGAGTTCTAAGTCAGAAGGAGAACGTGATTGCCCATGAGATGCACCCCCTTCCATCAGAAAAATAGAAGAGAGAGTATAGACAGCAGAGACCACCCTTCAACCAGAAAATGTGTCTATCCTCTCACGTGGGAGGACACAGTCATCATATGGAAACAGCTCACAGCTGTACTGTAAAAACAGTGACCTAGCACCAACATCTAAGACTACCCTGCCATTTAGAGTTGGGAGCTAAGACATAGAAATAGCATCAAGGACCACCCTACACCAGCGATGATCCTCGTCTTAAAGGCTCTCTTGATCCTAACAGACAGTTGAGTATCACCCCATTTAATGTTCTGCCCTTGCTGTACCCACCAGGACAGAGGGGGTGACAATACACAAGAAGTTGACTAGTGGGACGGGAAGATGGAAACCGGTCTGGGGTGAGCTGGGAGGAAAGCTCACAGTAGCCCAGCTGTAGCTGAGCCACTCTCCCCCAGTGCCCCTCATGCCTGGTCCACACACAGTGAGATCCCAGTAGCCTCACCATCACTTTGTGCCTGCCGATGAGGTTGGGAGACTCGCAGAGAAGCTGTACGTCTGACACCGTCACGGTGCATGGCTTCTCTCCAACCAGCACGGTGTAGTTCAGCTTCACATTGCCTCCAGCCACAGGTGGGATCAGGTTCTTGCCCTGAACAGACAGGAAAAGCCCCCATTCCCAACCCCGAGTCAGGACCACAGCTGCTAGTGGCTGCCGGGGCCTCCGACCCAATGTCCTATCTTATGGACGAACTGGGGAAGAGGCCACCATCAGCAAGAAGTCCAAAAGATTGGTACATGTGTTAGATGTGGTGTGATAGGAGTTCAGTCCCTAGTACTGTAAGAGAGAACAGGACCTTTAAGATGTGGAGCTTGATGGAAGATCATGACTTCCCCACGTCTTAAAGGTCCTCTCTGGTTCTCTTGTCTATGTGCTCCTGCTAGAAGATCCTCATAAAAACTAGGACTACTATTGGTCTTTCATTTTCCAGAACAATGAGGCAAGTTAACTTTTTTTTTCTTTATAAGTATCCAGCATCAAGTATTTTGTGACAATAACAGGAAACAGACTAATACATTAGACATCCTAGTATCCTCTCTTCCTCCCAGTAATTGACAATTAAATCTTATGACAATTAAATTATGAAAAGCTTTTCTGGAATACCTTTAGGATGATGGGGGTGCCAGGCTTGAGCTCCAGGATTCCTGAGGGACTGAAAGCCTCAAACACAGGGTTAGGATAGTAGGTGAAGTTGGTCTTGTTGAGAATTAACAGAGACTGGACATTGTCCAGGATGAAACCAAATTCTTCAGGCCTTTCAGTAAGATCTGATTGGTGGTCAGGACCCAGGGCAAGGGCTGGAGCCTGGCAGGTCATCTCAGTAGCATTCAGGACCTCACAGATCTACAGGAGTCAGAGAAGGGGGACAATGAGAAATATCTCCACACCAGGACTTCCGGTGTACCATCGATGCTACATGGGGTTCATATGGGAGGATGATGGAGGAGGGCACCAAGTCACACTCTTGGCTACTACTCACAGATCCCACCCTGCAGCTCCTATTTCTGGATTTGCCCAGTGTGAATGTGGCAATGATTAGGTATTTTCTAAACTGGGTAAGAATAGTAGGGTGATAATGGAACCCCGTGAACTGTGGATGTAATTGGTCTCTTAGGCCTATAGCCCCAAAAGCTGAAAATATGGTCATATTAATTCCCCTATCCTACCATCCCAGGACTTGGAGGTATCCCATGCCATGAGTCATTGTATGTAGGCAAGGACCTGCCAATGGACTCACATTGATGTGTTCTTTCCCTCCATGCTTGGCACGGATCTGGGGGTTCTGTATGAGGTCCAGGTGAGTTCCCCAGACAGCGATAGGTGTGTTCCCACTGCCCAAAAAGAAAGAAAGGAGTGTGTGAGCCACAGCCACAGGAGATGTAATGGCCATGACAGCAATGGTTATCAGGGTGAGCCACGACAATAAGGATGAGGAAGCACAGTTGTGTCCTTGGAGACAAGGAGGAAAAGCCAACTGTAATAACAAGAGTATCTCAGAAGCCCAGAGGGAGGGCAGTGGTGAGCAGATATCCATATTGTCCCTTGCCGGGCCTCTCATGGAGGCCCAGGTGACAGCACAGCCCCTTAGTTCTCCGAGGCTTCCAGACTGGAGCTAGCTGTTTTAGTCCTGGATTCTCCTCCCCTGATCCTCTCCACTCTCAATCCTGTTCTAAAGTAAGCTCCCAGCAGAACCTCCAGTGTTGAAGCACATCTGTTTTCCATGGCAATTGTGCTACAATTTTCCTGCTTGGTGGCTTCAGTCCAGCTGAGACCTATGAAAGCCATGGCCCAGGTCCAGACACCTCTTCCAAGATTACGAGTGTGACATGCTCTGAGACTCAAGTCTCCTGAGCCCTGGAGTGACACAGGACAGAGATGAGGGGGACTCAGGTGACTCACTTCAGTGTGGCCTCTCAAAGGATGCTATGTTCTATGCCTGGGAAAGCTGAGAAGCTGGTGGGGAGGGTGGGAAGCCCTGTTCTTAGCTATGTCCTACTTGGACTAGAGTGAGCATGACCTGATTGTTAGTCAAGGGAGCATCATTGGCAAACATCCTGCTGTCCAAAGCAGGGCTTTGTAGGTAAATTCCTTCTAAACTTAGCAGCTAGGATTCTTTGTCACCTGTGCTCACATGGGTTTCTATCACTCTATCTACTTTCCCGTCTTTAAACTTCCCATTACTTCTCTCTCATTGAGTGATTCTCGCGTGCATTCATGAGCTCACATGCACGCACATACTTCCAGGGGTGCCTGCAGGATTCCTCCTACACAGAGCACAGTTCAGATGAGTTGCTGGTATCTAGCCTCTCTGTCCCCAGACTTCCCAACCACTAATTCTGCGCTCAGTAGAAAAAGATCCCATCATTGTCCTGAAACAACCCAGGCACTTACAGGAAGCTCAAATCCCACACATGGTACAATGCCCACTTCATCCTCAGATTTCCTTAACTTAAGCAAAAATGCTGGCAGTCTAGAATGTGTGTCCAGCCCCCCTCGTGGCACGAGTGTGTCTTGGGGCACTGCTGAGTGCCAGGAAGATGACACCTTTATTTCTGAGACAATATGAAGGGAACCCGAATTCAGCAAGGCCATGGATGTCCCAGAGTATCACTGCCTAGCTTCTTGAGTGAGACACAAAGGCCTGTGTCACCTTTCTGAATCACCAGGCTCTGAGGCCAAGGCCTGGCATGGCTCTGAAAGGCTGTTTCCCCCATGCCTTAGCTAAGGACAGCCAATGGCCTTTCTCATCCCAGCAGTCAGGCTGCCTCTCTCTGGTCTTCAAGCAGAGGGTGGCCAACTATTTCTCTGAAGGGCCAGGCAGTAAATATTTCAGGCTCCACAGGCCATATGGTCTCTGTCACAATTACTCAACTCTGTGCAGTCATGAGAAAACAACTGTAGACAATACAACCAGTGAGCAGAGCCATGTGCCAATAAAATTTTATTTATAAAAATTCAGGCAACCAGTCAAGTATGGCCTTTGGGTCCCTGGTCTAAGTTTGGCCCCCTAGACTAGGCTTGCCCCTGCCTCAGCCAGCCCAGAGCATTGCTTTATTCTGTCTTCACTAACTTCTCCAGCCCTGGGGCTCCTCCTGGCTGGAGTTGACAGTGGGGAGCACCGAGCAGGGGACAGGTGGACAATAAGGTGATGTTAAGGTCACCTGTCGGGTAAGCAACATGGACTGAACCCATTCCTTCCCAACCCAGGTCTTCACTGTGCTCTCCAATGCAGCCCAGAACAGCGGCTTCCCAATGGTCTCCAGGGGCCTCCCAGAAAGGACAGCCTCCGTGGAGCCTTCTCATCCTGATAAGTCCTCCAGGCCTGGAAAAGTGGACATGGTCAGGTGCCTGCAGCTCCATCTCTGAAGGGAGGCTCTGTACTCCTACACCCTAAGGGTCCTGCAGTCTCTCAGTCCCCAGGAGAATCCTCCTAACGCTGGATGTCCAGGAAGAGCCATGGCTTGCCCCGCTGAACTACCGAAGTGCTGGACGGGGTCTAGGGAGACGTGTGCTCTTCCACCTCCTGTGTCATTTGGCTTTAGTGCATTTGTGTTGGGCGCTGGGGAAGAAGCGAGAAATGGGGCCCAGGCTCTGCCTGGCTGAGTCTGTTATTTGAGAGGAAGAAAGGCAAGCGGGCAGCAGGGCTGGGGAAGAGCAGGGCTGGGGAAGGGACACCTGGGAAGAGGCCTCAGTCTCCCGGGTCACTGGTTTCTCTTGGGCTTTTGAGAGCTGAGAAAGAGAAACCGAGGCCTAGAGGCAGGGGGGGAGGTTGAGGGGATGGGTCCTCCTACCTGACAATGCTCCACTCTGGCTCAATACGCACGATGGTGGGGTCCTCCACATACTGAAAGACCAGGTCCTGTCGGATCCTGGCCCTGTCCACCTGCACAGTCACCTTCATGTCCAACACCTCATCTGAGGATGTAGTGTTACAGATAATGTAGGATGGCGAGCGCCTGGAAAGGAAGGCAGAGCATGGGCTCCTAGGTATTAAGCAGTGGTCTGGGGTTAACCCCTTTCTGGGCACATCAGGTTTCACAGAAGTAAGGGGTGGGCACTGTCATAGATAGAAGCTCACAAACCAAGGACAAGGGTCAACCTTTGGAAAGGCTCCTCTGAGCCTACCTTTCAAATAGGCCTGGTCTTTGGGCTGTCCTTGACTCTAGCCCCTGCTCCAATTTTAGCAAGAATCTAGCTACCTAAGTCTGGCGAGGTGCCTTCCTCCATGTCTCACTCCTGCCTTGCCTGAGATGAGAATCCCCTGAAGTGAGTTTGGTGGCCCCTTGCCACCTCCTCCCTGTGACTCTGAGTCCTGGGCTCTGGCTATACTTGTGGTGCTAGGGTTGAACTCCACCTCTGCCCTCTTCTGAGTTGCAGCCCTACTGCAGCGGCTTTGAGCCAAGTCACCCTCACACGCTCACTAAGTAATGGTTTCTTGGATAGCAGTAATGCAAGACCCCCGGCTGGTCTGACTTTGAATCTGCAAGGTTCTTGTCATAACCTACTCTAGGAACATCTATCTCTGGACTTGGGCTCAGATCGGTCACATCTCCCACAGCATTCCTTGGATGGGCTCCCTGTGGCCCCTACTCCAGGCTCCTGGCTAGGTAAGGTATAACCCTTCGGGCTGCAGACCCAGCTAGGCAGAAGGAGGAAGGCCTTGCCCCTGTTGGCTCAGCCTTGGCCTTCTGGGATTGCCTGTTTAGAGCAGATGGGGTGGTCCCAAGCAGCTCCCAGTAGGAGAGGCTCTGCCCCTTGAAGGGGCATCAGCTGCTGGTTCCAAGCTGGATGCTCAGTGGTGCTCCCATCCTCTGCGAAGGGTACATCCTAGGACACCAAGCTGAACTGTGAACAGCAGCATGGCACCTCCCCACTTTCCATGGAAGACAGGGCTGGTATCTACTGTCTTCCCCCAAAGAGAGCAAGAGTGAAAGCTTTGGGAGGGACTTGCAAAAGTCAGCCTGGGGAAGGGGCAGTTTCTGTTCATCTCTGTGGGAACCCACATTTCCCTCCTCTGGGCCCAGGGGTTACCTGTGGAAGAGGCACGGCTGGCTCCCGAACATCACCACCACATTGCTGCCTGCATTCAGGTTGGTGCCCGTGATGGTAACTTGTGTGCCCCCGGACATGGGTCCCCGGCTGGGCTTCAGGTCTGCGAGGGTCAGAGTCTGCATAGAAAAGAAGAGGACTGAGACATGCTGGGATAGGAGGAGGAGGCTGGGTCAGGCCATAGGCAGTGCCCCACGGTCTACCCAAGAGCTGCCATCTAGAATCTACTCGTGTGGCCTCGCCAAGCCATTTTGTATTCATGTGCGAATAGAGCTTTCATCTCTACGTGAATAATAGTGGTCATGAGAGCTGCTGTGTACTGGTTTTTTTTATTTTTTTTGTGACAGCCTTTATCTCTAGTGATATAGACATATGTATGTCTATAATTATCCAGTCAGCGATTTTTAAAAATGGCTATCGTTATTTCACAGATGAGACTCAGAGGGGTTAACTAAGTTCTCTGAGGTCACATGGCTAAAAAGTACTGCAGTTGAGACCTGACTCCAGAGCCCTGGTCTCTAGCCACGACTCCAAGAGACAGAGAAGGGAACCTGCCATTGCCAAAGGTCTCTTCTGGGAACCCTCCAGTGGCCAGAGCATGGGGCATGTGAAGACTGTGCCCAAGAGATCTTTGAAGGCCTGTCAAGCCCCCTGCCCTGACTGGAGGTGAGGAGCGGGCTGGGTGGGGGCTGGGAGCAGAGCCCCAGACAGTAGGGGATTTGGAGTTTGCAGTTTGTGCCTTCATTAGCATTTTAATGGAAAAACTTTCCCTGGTCCCAGGTGAGAAGCCTGTATCTGCATTTAAATGAAGATTTCTCTTTCCCTTCCCCAGCTACAGTTCCTGAAAGAACTCTGTGCTGAACCCACTGGGTTCACAAGGCCATGGGTACTCTCCCTCAGGAGGCCTCCTTTGGGGGCCAGCAAACCCACCCACCTGCCATGTACCCAGACCCCAGAGAAAGGCACACTGATGGCATTCACCTGGAGACACTCACTGACCTTGGCTCCATGTTTCCTCAGCTAGGTTTGAAATCCTGGCTTTATGACTGAACAGTCAAGGAGAAGGGACTTTTGATATCTTGCTGTGTGACTCTGGGCAAGATAGTCAACTTCTCTGGTCACAGAATTGGGGAATTGAGCCCTAAAGCGGTTATCTCCAGGACCCATGACAGTTTTCTTGTTCAATAAACTATAATAATCAGCTATTTCCAAAGGGTGGCTCTGCCCCACTGGCCTCCCCGGAGAGGAAACACCCAGTCTGTCTGCTGGTGCCCGGTGCCCCAGGGCCACGGAGAAGGTTCAGAGTCAAAACCTGGGAAGGACCAGAGCTTGCCTCATTGCAGTGGTGTTTTGCAGGGCCTGGCTGGAAGGGGTCTGTTACGGGTGGGAGAGAGTGTTATGGAAACATGTTTTAGACTTGTGAGAAACGATTAATTATTCAACTCATGCTTCATAAATATTTCACGGTGGGTTTGCACGGGAAATCAAAGTCTGAATTATTTGCCAGCTCTTCACTTGGCTCCATGAACGAACAGACTAGAAGGGAGAGGGAGAAGGCGCATTCCCAGCATGGAGACCTCCTGGGACAGGGCTGGTGGCGGGCCAGGAGCACTGATCTGGGCTTTGACATTCGTCTGACTAACCTACACATCAGAGCCTGGTTTGATTTGTGGAGAGAAGCTGAAGGAAACCCAAGTTTGTCCCTGAGGCAGGAGAGTGGGGCAGAGAGTAAGGCCTGGGAGGCCTTACATGAAAGATTGCAAAATTAGTAAGGGAGAAAAACCTGTTAGCAAAGCTGAAGGCTGAAAACACTACCAACTGAGGAGGGGGGAGGGGGAGGGGAGGGAGGGAGGGGAGGGCAGGACCCAAACTGTGGAGCCACCAGTACAGGCACAGAGGCACCAGCATCTGTAGGTGACCTGTGCACCATTATAATACCAACACCCCCTTCCCCCATCTGTGGAGATTTGAGCCCCTGAGATACATGAAACTGGATGGAGAATTAAAGGTAACAGAGCAGGTGTGAAAAAGCCCAAATGGCCCCCCAAAGCCTGTGAAATGAGACATAAAAGCCACACAGTGGGCTCCAGGCTAAGCTTGTAAACTTTCTCCCTGCCCCAGACAGCTCCCGCCCTTGGAAGCGTATCATTTTCTAATAAACCCGCTTCTGTGGCTATCCACATCTGTCCGATTCTTGGTTCCAGGACATAAGAATCTGGAAGTCACGGTGACGCTCACTGAACTCTACTATATCCCCTAATCTTGACACCAGAAAAGGGCTCTCAGCACACCCCAGAGCACCAGAAGTCCCCAGAGGAGCCTGGGGAAAGCTATCCCAGGACCCCACAGGAGAGGGCTTTCAGGGTGGTGCTTAAGAAGTGGCCCCTCCCCACAAGCCACCTAGCTGAGAGGAGAGGAAGACAGTGAGGCCTCTAGGCCACTCAGAAGCATGCTTAGAAGGTGAGTTTGTCTTTTCTCCTGACCCTGTGAGACTCATGAGGACCTCCTCTTTTCATTCCCACTGGGAAACACCTACCCTCCAAGACTCTACCCCTAAGTGAACATGGAGCGGAGGAAGATACTGGGGTCCCCAACATCCTTCCTCCCTGAATTTCTACCCTAGAGGATGTGTGGCACCAGGCCATTTCCTTAGAAGGACCCTTCAACTAGGAAAGTGACATAGGTCATTGAGCAAGGGACCAGGGTGCTTGCCTTACTGTAGCAGCTACTTAAGTTGTTTCTCATGGCCTCTTGGCTCCTACTGCCCTCCCCTCCCCCCCCTCTCCCCCCTCTCCACTCCTGTGTTTGGGTGTGAGTCCATGGGTCAGTTTTATGCTAAGGAAAACACCTGCCAGGCAAGTTCCACATGGAAATAAGAGGCCAACTTGACACACACTGCCTTCCATTGCTTCTTCCATGAAACTTTGCCTAAATACCCCAGATTCAAGAACACCTTGCCCCACGGTAGACATAAGCCTGCAGGTGTACCTCGGTTTTCCCGAGTGAGGGAAAAACATGCCAGCTGATAAATGGTTATCAGTAGAAGAAAAAGGAAGAACCAGAAGGGAGGAAAGGATGAAGGAAGGAGTAAAGGAGGAAGACTTCCTAACATCAGCCACACAGGCTCTTTGGAAGATCTAAAATGGAAAAATGGAGGGCTCAAGGCCAGGAGATTTCACCCCCTTCCCCAAAGCTGTGAGCTGGGCAGGCTTCTGCAGGCCTGGAAGGTTCAGGAGGGAATTTGAGTAGCTTGAGTGGTTGGGGTGAGGCCTGGGCGAGGTTATGGTAAGGAGACTGGAGAATGGAGGGATGGGAGCTGGGAGCCAGTGTGTGACTAGGGGGAATAGAGGGGGCCCACAGGTGGGACTAGGTACAGGACAGGTGAAAAGGAGGCTAAGAAGGCCTCGAGAGGGCAGTGGGTGGGCAGGAAAAGATGGCAGGCTGTTCATGATGGGATAAGGTGTAAGGGGGGTAGGGGTTGGTAGGGATAGCGGTGAGGTTGGCTAACACAGAAAATGGCACTACATGAGATGGAGACTATATGATTTCACCATACCGTGAGAGACATACAAATATCATTCTCGTTTTACAAATGAAGAAACTAAGGCACAGAAAAGTTAGTCAGCTTGTCTGAATTCTCCCCATCGGAAAGTGGCTGAGTCTAGACACAACTCCCAGGAGTTACTCTGCTGCTTGGCCACCCAGGAGACACTGGGACCCAATGGCCAACATTTGAATCTAGGTCTTTGAGACACCAAGGCTGTGCTCCTATTCTGTGGGGGTCCCATGAACATAGGTGGTGGGTGCAGGCCCTGCTCTGCACTGATGGCCATAAGATTTGCTGCAATCTGCACCCAGGCAGGCCTTTGGCATCCAGGACTCACCATGAAATAATAGAGCTGTGAGGAGCGGGCCATGAACTCAGGTCGACACACAGCCACACAGATCTCCACGAAGCCTGCATGCTGGCTGGGCTTGGCCTCTCCCATCTCACACACGATCCTATAGGAGCAAAGGAGAGACCTCATGAGCCACAGGACCATAGTCTAGGCCCACAGTGAGCCCAGAGAGGTAAAGGGGCCTGTATGAGCTCAACAAGTGGTCCAGAACTCAGATCCGACCTTAGGTCCTCAAGTCTCTTCTTAGGAGCTCCTGCTCCCACCATCTGGGCTGCCTCAGTGATGTATGTCTCCTCCCAGCCATTCCAAGTTCTATGCCAGGAGAAGAGACCCTTCCATGTGTGTATACAAAGGAGGGTTTGGTATAGTTACTAGTGCAGAGGTGTGTGTGTGTGTGTGTGTGTGTGTGTGTGTGTGTGTGTGTGTGTGTGTATGTGTATGTGTGTGTGTGTTTTCCATCTCACAAATGAAGAAACTGAGACCCGGAAAAGTTAGGTAACTTACCCACATATTTATATGTTTAACATCATGGAATCAAATCTATGGAATCAACCAACCATAGACCAAAAATATGGCAAAGCAGATTTTATTCATATTGAATATGTGCAGGCTACCCTTTTTCTTTTTAAAAATTATGTTTTATTTTTATTTTATGTGCGTGAGTATATGTCTGCACGTCTGTCTGTGCACCATGTGCATGCCTGGCTCCCATGGAGGTGAGACAAGGGCATGAGGTCTCCTGGAACTGGAGTTATAGATGGTTTTAAGCAACCAGGTCAGTGCTGGGAACCAGTTGGGGTCCTCTGCAAGAGCAGCCAGTGATCCTGACCACTGAGCCATCTCTCCAGTGCCCAGACTTATTTTTTCTTATGATTCTCTGGACAAAACAATAGAATGTCTATTCATCTGGCATTTCTGTTGACTTGGGTAAAAGTAATGGAGAGAGGATTTAAAGTATGGAATAGGATGCTCACAGGTTGTTCGCAAGGACTATACTATTTTACAGAAGTCACCTGAGCATCATATATTTGGGTATCTTCAGAAGATCTTAGAACCAATTCCCCATGGATACTGAGAAGATATCATTTATACACAAGCACACTCATACTTAAACCTGTGCACATATTCTATATACATGTACACAAATATGAATATTATAGACACACATTTATGATTATGTGCAAGTTTATAAAAGACAAATATAAATATAGCATAGCACTGTTCTAAATACCAGTTTGTACTTAGCAACATTTCATGTGTTTTCATTGAGTCTCTACATACTTTATTCTCCCTAACAGTTTTGTAATATTATATACATGTTTAAACTACCATTTTTGTAATGATCTTCCTATTGATGGGCATATAAATATTCTGATCTTTCTCCTGCTTCAAAAAACAAACAAAACAGCCAAAAAGGCAACATGCACATACCTATATCATGTGTTTATTAGAATAGACTTCTCAGGAAGGAATGTACTGGCAAAATAGTTTATTTACTTAACATTGATAGGACACAATAATGTTCCACAAAAGCTGTACTAATTTGCATTTGTATTAATGGTCCACATTTTAGCTATGACTAGGTAGTCACAAACCTTTGAAAGTTTTTCCAGTCTACTACAGAAAAGATCTCGTTTAAGTCCAGTGATTGTTACAGAGGATACATATGTTCATGTGTCTTTTCTTTCCTTATTTTTTTACGCTGCCTTCCTTTAACTTCTCTGTTAAAGACCTCTCTCTATTATGCTGACCACTTGTCCTTGGGTGAAGCCTTCTTAACTAGGCATATTAACTTTCATTTGTTGTAAATACTGCAATTCTTTTCTTCCTGGTTGTCAATTTGTTATCTGTCCTTCAACTTGGTGGTGTATTCTGCCACACTAGCATTCGAAAGCATCTATTGTGGCTAAATCTATCTATCTTTTCCTTTTTTATTTCTACATTGTGAGTCCTGTAGAGTTTGTTTGGTTAGTTGGTTTTGGTACAGTTTTATCTTTTGTAGTGCTGGGGATCAAACATGTCACATGAGCACCCTGTCACTGAACCACATTCCCAACCCTGTAGTTCTATGTCTTCTGTTTCTTAAACAGAAGTGCTGAGGGAAGGTCCTGTTCTCTCTCTCTCTCTCTCTCTCTCTCTCTCTCTCTCTCTCTCTCTCTCTCTGTGTGTGTGTATAGACACCATAATAAACTCATGTTTAGTGTGAGGAAAAGACAGATGGACTCTGGCTTTTCTTTCTCAAAATTAATTAGAAGCCATATACTTCTTGGTCCCCTGTGTATGTGCATGTATGTGCATGCATGATACCTTGACTCTGTGCCTGTCTGTGATTCTGAGGTGTTGGATGAATTACAATGCCTGGACTCACAAGATTCCAGCTTTATAATGGTATGGAAGTGACATGTAAGTCTGTCAACTCTTGTCTACAATTTTGTACTTTGAATTTTATCTTTTCTTGAGCTAGCCACATGTTCTATGATACTCTCTGTGATGCTGGCCAGTGGCAGAAAGCTTCAGGTCCCCGTGAGCTAGGGACCACAAGAAGAAACAACATCGGTAGCTGCTTAAGAATCTATAACACAATTTCATCTCATGTTGTTTCAAGTTAGGAAGGGTTTATCTAGACATAGTACCAAGAGCTGGAAAAGCATCTCAGTGATAGAACACTTGTCTAGCATACACAGGGTTCTGGATTCAGTCTCCATCATGTCCAAAAGAGATAAGGTTGAGGAACATCTGTATAATAACTTTTTGAACTGATGAATTCCCTACATTTAACATATCATTGTTTCTGAGTTGTTTCCATTAGAAACAAAACTGAGGTAGGCATTGTTAAATATGAATTTTTACAAGTCTGGTTGTTTAGAGAATTTCTAGAAGCCTATTAGCTAGACTTAAAGACTGTGTGTGTGGGTGGAGAAGTGGAGTGTGATATTGGGGATTGAACCTGGGGTCGAGTGTTCTACCACTGAGCTACATCTCAGCTTCCTTTTTTTAAATTTCTTGATTTTGAAACAGTTTCACTAAGCTGCCTAGGCTAACCTTAAACTCACTTTAGCCCAGGCAGGACTTGAGCATGAGACTCTCACATAGCTGGAGTTACAGGCCTGTCCTTAAAGTGCCAGCTAAACCTTTTTTTCTGTTTTTCTTTTTAGTTCTTTTCAGAGAGGGAGGGAGAGAGCACACTGTATGATTGTGTGTATATGATATATGTGTGTGATGCAAGCAAATGAGTGTTTGGGTGGATATGCAAGGCCAGAGCAGGGCAATGCGGGTTTCACCCTGTTACTCTCACCTTACTGCCTTGACAGGGTCCATCACTGAACCAGAAGCTGACCTTTCAGTTAGGTCCGTCTCTATCCCTCAGTGCTGGTGTTACAGGCACATGCAGCCATGTGGAGCTTCCAGCTAAGACTTTTTAAATCCATGTGTCCAAACATGTTCCTGACAGTTTGTCCCAGGTTTCCTCCCACCACAAGGAAATGAGCCAGTTGCATTCGGTGCTTATTTTTATTTTTATTTTTATTTTTATTTTTTTTTTGGTTTTTCGAGACAGGGTTTCTCTGTGTAGCTTTGTGCCTTTCCTGGAACTCATTTGGTAGCCCAGGCTGGCCTCGAACTCACATAGATCCGCCTGCCTCTGCCTCCCAAGTGCTGGGATTAAAGGCGTGCGCCACCACCGCCCGGCTTCATTTTTGTTTTTAATGGAGATAGTAGCCCAGGCTAGCCTCAAACTCACTATGCAGTTGAGAATGACTAATCTTGAACTTCTGACCTTCCTGTCTTTACCCATCTAACCCCAGGATTACATCTGGTTTCTGCAGTGCTGGGGATTGAACTCCAGGCTTCCTGTGAGCTAGACAAGCCTTCTACCCACTGAGTTCAGTCTCTGGCCTCTGGAACATTAACTTTTTAAAAATGTTCTCCATTGCAGTCATTTACATTTCATTTTTCATAGGAGTTTTTGGTTCATTGTGCATCTCGTGAATTATACATGCATGCTCTTTGCTCATTTTGTGATAACTGCCTTTTATTTATAAAGCCTCTTTATCGGTTAAGAAAAAGGTATCTATTAACTGTGATGGGTATAACCATATCCCCAGCTTTTCATTCACTTTTGAATTTTTCTTACAGTGACTTCTGATGTATACGTTTTTGAGTTTTATACTCAAACCCCCAATCTTTTCTTTATGTTTTACTTTTCAACTCATGCTTGAAACCTCTTCCCCTTCATGAAATCAAATGAATTTGCACCTGCATTTTCTTCTAATCGTTCAGTTTCGTTTTTGTACCCCAAACTCTTTAATCTACACGGAATTTATTTGGGTGTATAATGTGAACTAAGGATCTGATATTATTATTCTCCTGGCATTACCCAGCACCATTTACTGAAGGATCTTGCCTTTTCTTGTTGATTTGAACTGTCACCTTCATCACACACTAAATTCCTGCATGTCAGGATTCTTGCCCTGAGCATTCTATATCACTCCGTGGATCTAACTGATACTGCAGCACTTTAATCATCTGGCTTTATAATAACACTGTTGAGGCCTGGTCCGTGGTTGGGGGATGTTAAGCTTCCCCACATCATGCTGTATCAGCAGCAGTTGGCTTTGCTTTGATTTCAGAAAATTGTAGGAGCCCCAGATAGATGTTTGGGTCACTAAGTGATGTTAGATGAGGGGGATGATTCCAAGCCACAGTGGGATCTTCTGCACTCTACCCACTACAGGTGCCCTGGGGAGGCCCTGATGGGAGTCAGGAAGAACGGCACAGGCAGCATCTCCGTGCTTCTCAATCATTCAGTCCAGCAAGCAGAAGCGCAGGGCACTGCCAGGCCTAAGGGATGGCCTGCCAGCAGCCCACATCTAATGCTCATAGGACAATTGATAAGGTTATAGTCTGGGTGAGACAGGATAGAATACAGATTCCACTGTGCTGGCAAACATTCCATAGCTGTGTTTGCTGGGCTGGAAAGCAGTGTTTACTTATTTACAAGACAATGCACGGCTCACTGGATCTCCTCCACTAGGTGGGTTAAGGGTCAAGGTCATCTGTTGAATGACCCTTTTGCGCATGGTTTGCAAAGAGAAAAATTAGCCAAAGAACCCAGAGGCCTGAGAATAGTATGAGATTTCATTTTCAGCCTCCACGGAGGATAGCCCAGGGCTAGCTTACCTGTGGGGAAGCTCATGGGGAGTTAGAAGCAATAGAGGGAATTGAATTCACACTCCCTGGCAGGCTTTAATTTTGCTCTTTCTCACCTCTTCCTCTCCTACCCCAAGTAGTCAGCAGCCATGTTCCTCCTCCCCGCCCCATTTTCCCATCCTTGTCTCTAACCCCCTAGCATGGCATCTCAGTAGTGCAGAAGGCAGAAAGCTGAGGGTGACCCTGAAGACACCCTAAAATGTTAGTTGCATTCTACCCCCCTCCCCAACTTGGCTCTGAGTTTACCATTAATCAGTCAGTTCTTAATCTGCAAGTTCCAAATTTGAAACATTTGAGCCTTGATATGGCACCATCAGTGGAAAATTTTATACCAGGGAACTTTATTCGGTGATTATTTAAAATGCTGTATAAAGTCTCTTTGGGCTATGTGTATAAGTTGTATATAACACATGAATGAATTTTGTGTTAGATTGAGGGCGCATCCCCTCACTGTGTGTATGCAAACATTCTAAAGTCTGAAGAATAAAAAAATCCCTGCTCCACAATACTTCTGGTCCCAAGTAGAGTGGATAAGGGGCCTCTCGAGCCTGTACTGCCATGTCTGCCCACCCCTTTAGCTGCCTCCGTATCTCAGGTGGCTCTCACTTACTGTTCTGCAGGGATGTAGCCATCCACCAATGGGCTGCATTCCACACCAGCCACCTTGACATGTGAAGCAATGTCCCGGAATTCCAGACCCAGGTTCTCCCCTCGGATGGTGACCTTGGTTCCCCCTTCCCGAGGGCCTGTCACTGGAATGATCTGCGGAGAGGAAGAGAGGTGATCCTTCAGGCCTCAAGAAGCATCACCACCTACTTGCTGAGGAGGCCAGAGTGGGCGTGGCCCTTTATGCTCTGGGCACAGTTCCTTAAGCAGGTCCAGGAGGAGGTGTGTGACTGTCAATGGGTGGTAGCCTTGGGCAAAGAGGTCTGCGTTTCTCTGTGGTCCTGAGGGCCATGTTCAGAGCCCCTGGTCTATCTTCCTCCCATCTCATAGAGGAAGAGAATATGACTGCAGTGTTACCACATACTCCAGAGAAAATCAGGATAGACTTGTGGCATACAATACAACCTACAACCCTTTTTTTTTTTTTTTTTGGTTTTTTTCAAGACAGGGTTTCTCTGTGTAGCTTTGTGCCTTTCCTGGAACTCACTTTGGAGACCAGGCTGGCCTCGAACTCACAGAGATCCGCCTGGCTCTGCCTCCCGAGTGCTGGGATTAAAGGCATGTGCCACCACCGCCCGGCCAATACAACCCTCTTAACCACCCAGAACCACCTGTATCTAGGACCATCCCACCTGTTTCCAATATCAAATGTCCAGTCTCCATAGTCACAGGTTGTTTCTCTTCACTGAAAGTCCAAGGCACTTGTCATGCTACTTTCATGACATTCGCTATTCAGGTTGAGTTCCCCATTCTTCCACTCAGCTCCTCTCTTGACCTTAAGTCCCCGAGAGCAAGATGTGTCTCCAGTTCCCCTGCCTGCTTTTCTTGTCAATGGTAGCATGCTGTTGCAGCCAAGCCAACTCCCTAATCTCTCTTCAGAGCATCTGGCATACCATTTACCTTCCTTGTTGGCTTGGCTTGTCATGGACAAGGCTTCAATTTAGATATTACCCTGGTACACTGGTCCAAGGGACTGTCCTTCCCTCCAGAGATGTCACCGTAGATGTTAGAGCTCATAATTAGAATGTAGGAACGTGTCAACCAGGATCTGGCTTGCTTTGAGGTAGGGGCCGTGGACAGTGAATGTCATCTAGTTGTTACTTCCCACAATAAAACTGTTCCTGGTTCTCAGAGCACCTGAAGTGAGGTCCCTGAGAGAGAATCTGAACGTCAGGAGTCTCTAGTTCTTTCCTGAATGTTCCACTACCCCATTCTCTAAGGGTTACATATAGAGCACTATCCTGAACGGCTGGTAAAGTTGGGGGAACCAAAGGCCCTGGACTGGGCTGCCCTAGTGGCAGCTTTTCTGGAGGGAGACTGTTCACTAACCGAAGACTAGCAACTTCCTTCCTATTACACATCCCTTTGTAGACACACACGTTTGTGAGTAAGCATGCTTGTGGCGTAAGAATTTATATGAGCACATTCCCATGGTAGTAGAAAACAGCTGCACCTGGAGAAATGGGCCCATTTCCGCTGTGTGAGGTGCGCAGATGTGTGGAAGGTAGGCAGAGAGTGCTTAGGTTCTCCCCCAGTGCTCGCCCAGATGGTGGGTTCCCAGTGCACTTGGTGGGGGAGGGGCACTACATGAAGTTCCAGCCCTGGCTTGTCATCCTGTAAGAGGGGTTTTATCTTTGGACCAGTCCATGGTCCCCTGGAGGGCTGATGCCAGGTTGGAGTCAGGAAGCAGCCCCCACCCTAGGGAGATTTGTTTAATTTGTCACCTCTTTCCAGTGATTTTCCTGGATTCCAGCCAAGAGAAAGCAAATCCAGCTGATAGGTTTCAACGTACTGTGAGTCACCATGTGCCACAGCCCCCGGGATAGCTTAGCTGTTAACAGCATGAGGGTAGTGGTTTCACAGAAGTGCAGGGACTGAGGAAGGACTGGGAAGGAGAGATAGGGATGTGGGAAAGCAGGTCAAAGGACATTTACCTGCCCCCACCCAGCCCTTCATCCTGGAAGTCCCCACAGAGAACAGGGTGAAAAGGAAGTCCCAGTTTTGGTATTACCATCACCAGGAATGGCGAAGGGGAAGGGTCTCAGGTGAGGGATGCATTTTGATGGCCACCCTGAGGTGGCTGAGGGAGTTCCCTCATAATAGCCAACACTGTTTCTGCTCAGACCCACCCCAGTGGCACGGTCTGTAAGGAGTGAATGTCCTGTCAGTGTGAAGGAGAACATAAATCCAGGACTTGGGAGATTTGGGAGGCAACACTGTTTTCTCTATACTCTGGCTATTGTAGATGACACTACTCTCTACCAGGGAGAGGAAGAGAAGAACCCTGGCCTTCACAGGTGGGGGCCTAACTATGCCCCTCCCTCCAGTTCACAGGTGGAGGGCCTAACTATGCCCCTCCCTCCAGTTCACAGGTGG